ACTTGTATGTGGATGATTATCTTGACTCTGCAGAGACAACGGAACGAGCAATAGAGAGAGGACAGCAAGTAAAGGAAATCTTAGCGAAGGGTGATTTACATTTAAGGAAGTGGACTTCCAACGTCCCGGAAGTAGTATCTGAGCTCGGAGAAGAAAAGAAACAGGATGTCGACGCTGTGACCAATCTTGTCGAACATGAACCAGAAAAGAAAATTCTCGGGGTCAAATGGAACACTGAAACAGACGAACTTACATTCGCAGTTGCACCTGTTGAAGATGTAACCTACACACGACGAGGACTCCTCAGTAAGTTAGCCGGTGTATTTGACCCCCTTGGGTTAGCTTCGCCATTCATCATCAAGGCAAAGATCCTAACACAACAGTTGTGTCTACTCGGCCTCGATTGGGATGACCCCATTCCTAATTCCCACCTGACCAAATGGAAAACTTGGTTGCAAAGACTGCCGGAGCTAGAGCGAGTGAGTGTACCACGATGCATACAACCTAAGAAGAAAAACGTGATTGAATCAGAGCTTCATACGTTTTGTGATGCCTCGGAGGAAGCCTTTGCAACCGTGGTCTACTTGAGAAGCATTTACGACGATGACGACATACGGTGCTCCTTCCTGATGGCCAAAACAAAAGTAGCTCCAAAGAAAGCTTTGAGTGTAGCAAGACTTGAATTGCAAGCTGCTCTTCTAGGTGCCCGCCTGGCAAATTATGTTAAAGAAGCTATGACACGACACATCGATCGCGTCTTCTTTTGGACGGACAGTAAATGTGCTATCGGTTGGATACGGTCTACCGCAGTCTGGTACAAACCATTCATTGCGCACCGAGTTGGAGATCCAAACCCTGACAGACCCGAAGTCTTGGCGCCACGTACCTGGCAAACTGAATGTGAGCGATTGTGCTACCCGTTCGAGATTCGATGAGCGATCGGAATTGATCCCTGTTCGTTGGTTCACAGCTCCAGATTTCCTTTATCAAGGTGAAGATAATTGGCCAAAGGAAATTCCTGTTGAGGAACTACAGCAACACGAAGAAATCAAACCAAGCAAAGTATTCGTTGCCAAATCCAATCCTGAGCGTGTTCCCGTCTATGCTGACGTCGATTTAGAACGACTTTCTTCTTGTGGAAAGCACAGCGAGTGGCAGCACAAGTTCATCGCTTTTTCAATATATGTAAAGGAAAGAAACAGCAGAGTGGTGTCCTAACTGTAGAGGAATTACGAGTCGGACTGACCGCCCTAGTACGGCAATGTCAACGAGAAGCATTCCCCGACGAGCTCCAATCCTTGAAAAGAACCAAAAGTGTCAGCAAACGATCGAAGTTGTTATCATTTACTCCCTACCTTGACGAAAGTAACGTAATCCGCGTTGGAGGAAGACTTGACCGTGCTCGATTACCCTACGAAATACGACACCCGATCCTCTTGCCTCAGAAACACCGTTTGACCGAACTGATTGTCCAGAGCTATCATCGTTCAGAAAACCACGGAGGAACTGATCACGTTTTGGCTGCAGTTCGTCAAAAGTTCTGGATAATTCGTGGACGACAGGAAGTCAAGAGTTTCAAAAGAAAGTGCACCGAGTGTAAGAAAGAACGAGCGAAGCCTGGCAGTCAGCTTCTAAGTGAACTTCCTATTGAAAGAATAACTGCCATGCAACCAGCATTTTACCATACTTCTGTGGACTATTTCGGGCCAATCGAAGTTAAGTTGACTCGCAACACGACGGCGAAAAGATACGGCGCCCTGTTTACATGCATGACGACCCGATGTGTTCATTTGGAAGTCGCAGAATCGTTGTCCACCCCTGATTTTCTGCAAGTCCTTCATAATATGATTGCGAGACGCGGAGAGCCAAGAACCATCTACAGTGACAATGGCACAAACTTCGTCGGCGCAGTATCTGAATTGAAATCGCTGGTCAGAGAATTGAATCATAGTGAAGAACTCCAAAACCGCCTAGCTAGAATTGGAGAAGGGATCACCTGGAAGTTTCAGCCACCCGCAAGTCCTCACTGGGGAGGAGTACACGAGAGTTTAGTTAAGTCAGTCAAGACAGCACTTAACCGTACCCTGAATCCAAAAGGAGGACCGAAGATAAGTAACCCTACAGATTTGCAGTTGTCTGCCCTGTTTGCGGAAGTCGAGCGATTCGTCAATTCACGACTGATAACCTACGTCAGCAACGACCCTGAGACATAGAGGCTTTGACACCTTACCACTTTTGGGTTACACCGACGCTCGCCAGTTGTCCCACTCGGAGAGTATGCCGACCAAACTTGCAAAGATCGTTTCAAACGGACTCAACACTTAGCAAATCTTGTGTGGCAGCAGTGGGTGAAGCTCTACCTACCTAACCTCATCTCTCGGAAGAAGTGGCGTAAAGAGGAAAGGAACATTTCAGTTAATGACGTTGTTCTTATAGCCGATCCAGGTGTTTTACGTGGTGAGTGGAAGTTAGGACGAGTCGTTGAAACAGGCCCTGGAAAAGACGGACGAGTTCGAGCTGCTAAAGTGAAGACCAACAATGGCGTTTACACTAGGCCTGTTACAAAATTATGTCTTCTCGAACAGGACTGCGGATACGATCGTCGCCCCGAAGAAATCGAGACGAACGATGGGGAGGAGTGATGGACAGGCGTTCGGAAACTCTATATGAAGTACGTGCTTACCATATCGCAGGCTCAAGAAAACAACGTGGTTGTAACGTTTTACTTCGAAAATTGAGTCGTGGTAAAAGAATTTGGACATTTTGAACGTTTTCTGATGGACATCCTTTGTTATTAGACTGTTTTCTGTATCGTTCTGTTAGTTGGCTTGAACTGAAGAAGATTTGACTGTGTTTGAACGGTAAAATAAGCATGATTTCACTGATTTATTTACGTCGTGAAAAGTGCCAAGTGACAGTCATAGTATTTTAATTTGTATTGTCTTATTTTCCTTGTTTATGTTCTTTGTAAGGTTAATATGTTTGTTTAGATATTTATGTCCTATTTTACTTTGTAATTTTATGAATATTTGTCCTTTTTAGCGTGAAAATAAAACCGTTCGTTATTCTGTGTGTACTTCATGTAACATTGCACATAATTGCAAAATATCGAAGGCGCTTGGGTTGGTCGTCAACTAAACATTGAAACGAGGCCTAACGCGTGAACAGAAGGAATTGCATCTGTTGTAACCTTCATTCCAGATCTTCTTCGGGAATTAAAATCCATGCACCGCCAGTTATTTCATAAATAACATGCAAGTGTAAGAATCCAACGACATACTTCTCTTGACTGCAGTAGCTGCATTTTTTTTAAAGGCCCGTTTACACTTGCGATTTTTACTGCGACTTTCGTGTATGATTTTCTTCTTTTAATAGATGTGAACGAGTGAATTATTTACCGACGTTTAAATATGACGACCTTTTATTCATCAGAGCATTCGTAACTAACTACTCTTTCACACCAAAAGAAGATAATCGCACATGAAATCGCACCTAAAATTGCAAGTGTAAAGATCGACACAGACCAAGACGCCTGCCAGGCGCTCACTCGGGCCACAGTTATCTCGCTTGAGCTCGTATCACGCCTAATATTTGGTATTATTGCATGCTCGTGACACCCGCACGAGAAAAGATCCTAGGACGATTTCGATTCGTTGGAAGACTTCGTGCCGCCCACGCGTGATTTTTGTAAACTCGCGACGCAAAAGGGAAATCCGAGCCCATTTTTCAACTTGCTCTACCTATGGTAGCTATAGTAAAGCAAAATAATAATGACTTAGTCAGTCGTACTTCGAGTAGTGTGCGAATAATACACCGAGCGCAATATTTTTAAGCTGTTTTAATTTTAAGTTCTTCCTTAAGTCGGGGGCCCCTTCAGGTGAAAACAAAATGAAACAAACAAACAAAATGAAAGAGATGTCTACTGAAGCAAAACTACTTATACAAACTATTCTATACCTTTGCAACGTCAATAACACTCGTGGATAAAGCTGAATTTGAAGATAGGGATCATGACCGTAAGCGGCGGACACGAGAACGAAAGCTAAAATTTAACTCCATATAATTCGCAGGATGATTGTTGAATTAGAGTACCTAAGTTTAGCTGGGAATGATTTGTTTCAAGTCTTAAGTCTAGTTGCTCGCAGGAGCATCTTAGCCTTAAAATAGATAAGTTAGATAAGATAAGTTATAGTTTTTCAACTGTGGTTTTTTCAATCGCTTTAAAATCGCTTAACTTTGATTAAATCTTAGCATTGCTAAAGGCCATGTTACACAGTGCCATTTTTCTTGCGACTTGCAATGCAATTCTACTTCTAAGAGATGTAAATTAGTGAAGAGTCTTGCAGACGAAAAGTGGATGAAGCGTAGTAAAAACACAAAGTTTCGTTGTTCCCAAATTTTTAATTGTTCACAAAACAGCACAAATGTTAATTTTATTGCTTTTCGAGAATTTTTAGAACGTTTTAAAAAATCATTATCCAATAGCGCTATCCAGCCTTTGTACGTCTGTAATTGACTATAGTTGTTGCTTATTTCCCCCAAATTAATACATACTTATAGATAGTTAACGTCACTTTATTCTCCCAGAATGAATTAATAAAATAATTCATAAATTTTCGTGGCTTATATATCGCAGAGTTCAAAAATTATCCTGACCTGGCTCCGTCAGCGTTATCTGCTTCAGCTTCGCTTTGCTTGTAAACAATAATTCTGGATTATTTAGCACATATGGGATATCTTTTTGCCGTTTGCAAGGCCAAGGGAGTATAATAAAGCTAAGAAATCGAAGATATCAAATTCTACACAAAATTGACTATATATTTTAATGAAATAAAACAACTAAAGCAATTAATAATTAAGACAATTTCACAAAATATTATTAGGTCTAAAACAATTTCTCACAATATTGACAAGATATGCTCAATCACTGTTTCATGCAGTCCTACTTTCGGCCCTTCCTCCATTCTTGATTACGGAGAAAAAGCTACTTTCGTGCACGTAATACTAAAGGCAATTTTTCACAAGGGGAAATTTTTCGATCGAACAAAATTTTTTGCTCGATTTTCTTTTCAATTGTGACCGGTTAAGCGAATCTGCTGCTGTCGACGAAAACTTCGTTCGATCGAAAAATTCTGCCTATTGGAGAACCGGCTTAATAGTTCTAAAAAGTCACCCTAAAATGTTTTAAATGTTACTCGTATTGGTTAATTTAAAAAAACAAAGTCATACATAATTAATGTTGAGATTAAAGGTAAAGTCAATGATTACGCGATTATTGCTTTAAACAATCACATAATTGTTTAAATGCTCGCTTGTAACATTCAGCTTCCAATACTGTGTTGCGACAATCACGGTACGCGACACAGACGGCAATACAACAGGCAAAGTCTTTCTTATCGTGACAAGTCTTGATTGGCTGACCCCGTTTGACAAATAATTTGCGATAAGATAACTTTTTGCAGTCGAACGGGCATTGCTAAAAAAAAAAATTGTTTAGCTGTAAGGGAACTGATAAAAGTTATAATAATAGAAATAATAGCTATATAATTATAATAAATGAAACTTTGAGTAAATTAACTGGTAGCCAGGTACACAACGCGAGTATATATTTAATACTGCAAACCTTTCGGCCCGTTAATCCGGTGGGCCATCATGGGTAGAATTGCCTACAATTATTTTTATGCAAAACAAAAATTAACCAAGAGAATACGTGGAATAATAACAGTATCAAATAGTTTGCCCAAATTCTTAATATGTGACGCTTTAAGGTTACGAAAGGCGTTTTGAAACACAGAATCGCTGGGAGCACCACCTGGGGCCGGTTGTATGAAAGCCGGATAGCGCTATCTACAGGACAGTGATTTTTCAACCGTTCTAAAAATGCTTGAAAAGCAATAAAATTTCATCCTTGAATGGAACCAAAAATTATTAAAAAGGACACTTGATTTGGTGATTTATTCAAAGTTACGCCGAAGAACGGACTGAAGCGATTGAAAAAGCCCTTATCCGGTGGAAAACACTATCCGGCTTTCATACAACCGGCCCCTGAGCTGGCGATGATGAAATTATGGCATTAATGTGGTTCAAAATTACACAAACTGACTACGCTATTTCTCGGACGTCTCTTTGTCGGGGGATTAGAGACCTATAATGACCAGCGTTTTCTGCTTTTAATTAACCATCAGGGATAAAACTGTACAACATAGATTTACGGATTAATGTGGCCCTCGCCTTCATTGTGAAAACACACACCCTACCCCTGTGGAGGATTTTGCCTCTACAGAATCACACCAAATCCATGAAGGACTTTGATTTATACAGCAAGATACATCCTGAATTATTTGTCAATGAAGAGTAGCGCACATAATTAATTTTATGAAGCTCAACTTACAATTCCTTCAATAGAGAGAGCATTGCACTCGTTCTTTAGCAAATATCGTTTGAGTCCAAAGATCATCAATAAACGCTTCTTTTCAAGACGGTCCTCTTCATAAGTACAGTTCTTTTCATTTTTAATTGTGATCTCAGTGGAACTATCTTGTGAAGTTTCATTCGTTGGAGGAATGATGTTACATTTGGGTCCATACTCCACCGAGTATTCTTCAGTTTCTCCATTGCTTAAAGCAGCCAGCACAAAAAACACGCACAACAGTAGTTGTACGGAGTTGATAAACATGTTTGACATTATTCGCTCAAATTCTTTCTTGCATGGAGAGGAATATTGCAGGCAAGGTTTTTTTGAGGTGACTCCTCCAGAACACCTTTATATATACTAGCTGTTCAACGGGAATTACCACATGCAAACAGGAAAATTTGTCCATTCTGTTAAACGTCGACAAAGAAACGGCATAGAAACGGCCGCCATATAAAGAAATATTTAGTTTTTACCTGAAAGATCCTTTCAGAATGTTTTCGCAATTTTGTTTATTCAAATTGACGTGATTTAGATCATACTCGATGTCAATTATCGTCATCCGACAAGGAATTGGTTGTGAAACAGGCAACGGCATCTTTGAAATGTTTATATTCGTTTTCGTGGGCATCTTGGCAACGGGTTGGTATTGAATAGAAATAAAGAACACCTTTGAAACGGCATACTGTTTGCTTATTTTCGTGGGTGTCTTGTTTTTCCAGGTTCAAAGCGCATGCTATGATCACAACAATTATATTTCTCTCGAAAAGACCACTTAACGGATATAAGCACATTCTGGAGAGATTTGAAAAAGAAACGATATCGTCTGATTAGCTGTTTTAATCTTCACAGACAGGTCGTCTATCGGAGCAAAATTTGGCAAAGTTCACACAGACTTCATTTAATTAACGAACGAATTTAATTGACTGAGCTATATAGCCTAATCAGTTGATCAGAACCACCCATAGTTCTTTAAAAAAGTTCAAGTTTAACTATATAACAACTCTTGAGCAACTATCTGTAAATTGAACGTCACTCATTCTATGCAGGCGCACTGTTCATAGAGAGTTAAGCTCCACGTTTGACGTGAAACGGCAAAGGGCAGGTAAACAAAAATTGCCCCTGCAAGTTCACCTTCGAATGCACCCCTGGCTCTGGGGCCGGTTGTTCAAAAGCACGTTAAATTTAACCCTGCATGGTCTAGTGCTAAACCAGCATGGGTTAAAATCCTTAACCATAGGTTGGCTAAACCTAGGTTAAAACTGTGTTGTTCAAAGCAGGGTTAGCGGAAGGGTTAGTTAACCCAGGGTTAAAATATTTAACCTATATAAAATTAAATGTATTTTGAGCACTAAGTTGGATATAAGAACGCCTCCGATTGGTCAATAAACGAGCGTCAAAACTGTAAATTGTGATGAGGAAATACTGTCAATTGAAAAATCATATGCCGTGAGGGAGGGACGTTGTGTTGAACAGCAATTTCCGTGCATGGAATTTTGGAAAGATTTGAAATGAAAGGCCATTTTGTATGATAAACAATGTCAATAAAATTAGGCAAATGATAAACAACCGATTTTAAATTTCAAATGTGTTTAACTCATGAGAAATTATACTTGTTTACGTGTTACCGTGTTTCCGCTCCTTATGCATCCATCTTGAATCGAAGTTAACCCAGGATTAAAAAGTCAACCCACCTAGCTAGCAGGGTTAATTTTTTTATAAACTTAACCCAGAGTTAACGCTAACCGGGCTTTGTACAACGCAAATCAACCGAGGTTTAAAATTTAACCCTGGGTTAGCGTTAACCGGCTTTTGAACAACCGGCCCCTATGGGAATGATCCGTCTCTCAAATAAATCACGCTACTGTGGTAGCGCTTTGCTTCTGCGGCGTGGTTGCAACATGTCTTTACATTCTACCTTCCGATCTATCGCAAAGTACATCTCTTTCGTAATATGTCTTAATGTCTACTTTAAATAATATTTTAAAAACTTGCATGTTCAATTTATTGTCGTGTCGTGTCGTGGGAGTCTCGAAACTAATTATCCAAATGCATGCGGTAAAATACCAGACTTCAATTGGTCAAGACTTCCGTCTCTCTTCTTTTTCATACACAAAGAATTCTTTTTTCAACTGTGGGTGTTCTTGCTAATAGACTTTTTTTAACAAAAATATATAATAGCATTTTGTAGACATATTATTGTGCAGTGCAAATAAAGTCTTTGGAGCAATCTTTATAATTTATAGCTAGCTGTTTGTTTGGTAATTTTGAGATCGTATAGGAGTTATTGGTTATTCTGAGAGACTTTCTCCTCTTATCTCTTGCAGACTTGTATTTTATCATATCTCATACTTCGTGTATATTATTATTGGTAGAATCGTGCTAGTATTCTATTGCAATTGCTGCTCGGCTGCTCTATACCCGTTATCTACCCCTTGATAGACAGCGAGAAGCAAAACCTACAATTTTTGCTGGCCCGAATTTTAAAATGGCGTCCGGCTCTTCATTTTTGCTAAAGACTCAGGTAACTCCTAAAAGAACAAAACTTCCACGAAATTAAATTCGGCATCAAGATATTTAACCCTTAAATAAAAAAGTTAAATTTGTAAATTATCCGGCGAAAACGGGAAGGCTCTTGAGATTTTCGTTCCCTATAACACCGATAAATTTTCATACTTATCAGCATATTGTATTGTAAATAGTAACACAAGGGTTGCATGCAAGTATTTTAGTATGCTTTGCGACTCTTGACAAGCTCGCTATTTCCATCGAGGAAAAGTCAAAAGCCGAGCTAAGTAAACTGATGACTGCGCTTCTTCACCGCTGCACCGCTGGTTAAAACGGTTTTTTCCCGGTACAGCAGTTTTCAGCGGTTTCGAGACGAAGAATTGAAAGATTTGCTTGTTACCTACTGATTTTACTGCCTTAATTCTTCATAGAACACCCGCTGACATTATGAGCCTGCACTAATGAGACTTCGCTAGTTTGTTCCAGCGTGTAACAGTTCGAATGCGAATGAATAAGAAATGATGTGGACCGATGAGAAATAGTCCGGATGTAAACTTTTTTGTATGCAAATTGTGATTGACTGCGTACACATAGAAATATACAATACTTAATGGTTTCCGTGCATGGAAGGCCTGATCCAAACACTTGAGAATGTTGCTCGAGTTAAGAAAAGCGCGCGAAACACGAGCCGAAGGCGAGATAAAATAACAACAAGGCCTGAATTACGGGCTTCGACCAATCAGAACACGGGTTATATATATGTTATTCATAATATTCTTTCACATCAGCCATATCGACATGTTACGTTCACGACACTCACGCACTCACGACTAAATGGAAACCCGCTAGACGTTAGTATTTAGTGCTGTCTCTGGAAGCCTAATTGGGGAGGGTCAATACTCATAATCCATAAATTTTTAACTCATGCTCGTACAACCGAATTTTAATAGAATCGCTATCAAATGAAATCATTCAAACGAATATATACGAGTATTCTTTGCTACCTAATTTGGAGACTTAAGCATGTAGGACGGCAACACGACGACGACGTGGTTGGAATACTCCTTTAAATTAATGATATGGTGAAGAGTTCTTCTATATTATCAACTGTACCAATTTAATGAGATATAAGACGTTGGTAGCGCTCGGTCCTGAGATGCAGACGTTATGCATAGGACGTAATAAATGACGTTTTGCCGTTCTAAACAAAACATAGATCACCTCTAAATCTCCCATAGGTATTTAATAATTCATTTCTTTTCAATGAGGCATTGTATTGATAACTGACGTCGTCGTGTTCCCGTCCTACATGCTTAAGGTCCCTATTATAAGCTTCTAGCGACGGTACTGTTTAAATTTTGTCAAATCAGGGCACTCGCCAAACTTAGTTTAAATTTAAGCCGAGGTTTGATAATAAACAGGTAGTAAATGAATGAATATGACTGAGGAGATAGGACAGGACAAAGGTTTACAACATAAATGTATGTATTTCTACCTGAGTAAATATTTTCACACTTTTGTCCAAGTGGAAGAGAAAAACCCGCTCGATTGGCTCGAAGATTGTTGGGCAGTTCCCTACTGCGCAATTCCTTGTCAAGTTTTTCTTGACAGCCGTACACAGGAGTATTTTTCCTTGTTGAAAATCTGGCATGACTTTGAACAAGGCTCTTTGTCAAGGAAAACTTTTCAAATTTTTCGCGTACCAACGAGCAAATAAAACTTGGCAAGGAAAATTAAACTTGCCCGTCTGTACGGGCTTTATACTTCTCTTGAATGAGTCAACTTGAATAAGATGCACTGAATATGTAGTCGTAAACATGCAGTATCTTAGAATTAAGCTTGAAAACATTTAGCTCGCTTTCTATTTTGAACTTAACCACTGGCACCGTTTTAGCTAGACGGGCTTGATACAACCGGCCCCTGTTCAGTGAATAAATCTTCCTTATTTGAATACGGCACGGATGACAGAATAAAGATTTAGCTTAGCGTTTACGACAAACAAATTTCGAAATGCCAGGTAAAGCCGTGAAAATTGGTGCATTATGTTTAAACTTGTTTATCAGGTAATTACGATACAGATTGCGGCTGAGAAAGGGCTAAGAAACTACCAGTCCTTCAAACATGACTTAAAATATGCCGTCTACCTGGCCGAAACTGGATGTGATAATTACGACGTGTTTACACGATCCAACTTTGTCGGATCTAATTCATTCCTGGCGTATTGAATGTAGTTTGTTATTGGTAAAGCAGTGTCTATTGGCTAGCTGTAGATGATTTTTTGTTTGTAAGTCAACAGACTATAAAACATGCATCAATCAGATGTGAATTGAATCCGACAAAAAGAGGTCTTTATAGGCTATACGTTCACCCGGAACCGGATCAATTTGAGATTCTTAAATTCACTGTGATTTTTAATCATTTTTATCATTCTTCAACCCGTGTGTATATACTAAAAATTTAGGACGAGAAACTTATCTGTGACCGAATTCACATCAGACGAGTTTCCAGGAGACAGTCACTTTAACATGCCGTAATAAATTTAAATATTGAGTCCAACGATTGAATTTTGACATAACAAAAAAGAGGAGATAGCTATTTAGCTTTCTAAATATGTCTTTCCATGTCATAATGACGAGAAATAACCGAATAATTGCGTGTTAATTAATAATAATTTGGCTAGCTGTTAATTTCGATTTTTTTAGACACCCTGTATCTTACCCATGCAGCCTAATTTATCTAAGTGCGATGCAGATCAAGATTAGCACTGTTTTTAAATCTTCATTGCCAGGTTTAATCCATCACCAATCGGTAGAAGACTGTTATCAACTCGCGGATCCTTATGCATCTTTTGATTCAGATTATGGATTACGGTTGTCTCTTCATCCTTCTCATTCTTTACCACACGACCATTCCATAAAACCTGCATAAAAAATATTTCTATTTAAACAAACCTTTATAAGACATAGAAAGATAACCTTCTCGAGTGACAGAAATAAATATGGACAGGATCTTATAGCTAATAGAAGAAATATAATATTGTCGACTTTTTATTTCGGTAACGTTACCAATGTCAATTAGACTGCGTCCATCACATCAACTAATGACATAACTCTGTCTGAATGGAACTCGAACATTAGCGAGTCTGTTATACTTAGTTTTAATGCATGATCGATGATCGTCATTTTCCCTAGTACTAATAAACGTATAAGACATGTTTTCGAAATAGATAAAACCCCAAAATTAATATTAAGGGCAATACCTAAAACCTTATATATTAAAATGTAGGTAAACAAAGGGATTTTTACTTACATTGTCAATGGCAATGAGTCCTCCTGATCGGAGCAACTGCAAGCCTTTCTCATAATAATTATCATAGTTCATTTTATCGGCGTCGATATAAATGAAATCAAAAGTACCACCTTCACCTGCTGCTAATAGTTCGTCTAAAAAAGGACATAAATAATTCTGGTTTTGTTAACAAGGATTTCTGTCAATGTGTGAATATGCAACACTAATAAATATATATAACATTATATCCACTTAACGCCTTTTCATTTGTTCAAACGTTAAATTGGTGTGTTTTCGAACACACGAAGGTGTGTTTCCATACACACCAAGATGTGTTTCCATACACACCAAGGTGTGTTTCCATACACACCAAGGTGTGTTTCCATACACACCAAGGTGTGTTTCCATACACACCAAGGTGTGTTTTCTAAAAGTGCGTATAAAGGTGAGCACAAATTACACACCATGGCGTGATTGAGCACACATTGGTGTGTAGTCAAACACACATTGGTGTGTAGTCAAACACACCTTGGTGTGCAATTCTACACACCTGTTTTTTGTATGTAGTACCTCAGATGCAGTGTTTGAATTGGCTCGAAGTACCAAAGTATAAAAATATATGGATATATATGACATATCTTGGTAATCCCAAAAGATGCACAATCTAGGCTTATTCATGTGGTCATAAAACAATATTGAAATTTAAATTCCAATTCAGATTTCATTCTATAAAATAATTATTACCCAACCTAGTGTTTGTAAAGCTGGTTGAATTCTTAAATCAATCTTGTCCATGACCCCGGCCTAAAAATATCAGTGAAAAATAAATATACCAGAAACGAAATGGAGCAACTTCTAATTTATTATGTGTGATGTGCTAGGCGCGATCTTGGTTGATTCAACAAAGTTTGCTTCACGTTTTCAAGAGCGCAAACTGGATTTGATTTACTTCTTTTCTGTTGAACTCAACGACAACATAGATGCATGGATAAGATAATAGTATAAGATTCAGACAAGATTCAAACAAAGACTTTATATGCAGGGTGTCCCAAAAAAAACGCAACCACTTAAATATGCAAGAATATTAATATTGTTCGGGTTTGCACCATAGTTCAGCTATGTCTGACTTTTAGCATTGTAAATGAAGGATTAAGAGCCATTTTCAATTCCCAGAGGTGCTTATCTATTGCGCTTTAGAGCTGTATTAATGTTTTGCATATTTAACTGGTTGCTTTTTTTTGGGACACCCTGTATAGTCTTTAATTTGAAGTTGTTTGTGTTTTTGTTCTTCTCTATGACACAAAATTTTTTAACAAGAAAGTAAAGATGCACCATAAATATTCGTAAAAATTATGTATTATTATAATTATTCGTGTGTGTTTGTGTTTTGTTTACGTTTTCTTTAGGAGAAACGTAAATCCTAAAAATGCTGAATCCTAAATGACGATATATAAACACAACTCGGAATGTGACGCAAACACGTGGGGTTTAGTGACGTATTTTCATATAAATAATAAAAAAAAATTATTTGTTTCGAGAGTCACTGTTTTACTTAGCTGCAAAAATAGTTAATTTCAAAACATTTGAAGTATATGTTCTAGTTTCAATACCAATGAAAACATTCGCGAGTGAAAAGACTGGAACTGGTTTCATTTTTAAGAGATGTCCCTCCATTTATCCCACCAAGATTACCCCATCGAACTGAGCTGAAATTAGAACTAAAATTCTCACATACTTCTTCTATCAAAGGTCTTCCAACATCAAAGTATTCTCTCGAAACATCGCAGCCAATGACTTTACCATCTTTTGGAATTGTCATAGCGACACTAAGAAGATTATAGCCAGTAAATACACCTAGATGGTAAAAAAAAATGCTTTAGTCGTTCGTTATACCATAGGCAACCCAGAAATGTTTTCGTTCTCGTGGCGCTCCCGGGTGCACGCGAGTATACTCGAACTATTATTTATTATTGTGATATAATAATAGACCGAGTAGACTCGCGTACACGCGCGAGCGCCACGAGAACAAAAACATTTCTGGGTTGCCTAAAGGCTCTGTTACACTGTGCAATTTTTCTTTTGAGAGATGTAAATTTGGCTACTACCGAATTTTTATCTTTATTACACACTCCATGACGTTTCATGCACTTATATTTTGAGAACTCTTCACTAATTTACATCTCTTAAAAGTAGAATTACATCGCAAGTTGCAAGAAAAATTGCACCGTGTAATGCCCAGAAATGTTTTCGTTCTCGTGGCGTACGCGACTTTAAGGTTATACATATTCGCCATATCATGGCGAACCATTATTCAAAACGATGTTGAAAGCTCCGATATTTTAAAAGTTACATGAAATTTAGAAAACAACTGATAATACAATTATAACGCTCCTGAAAATTGGGAAAACTAGTAGAATAACTAGTGATGGATGAACTTACTCGAATGTTGAAGTCTTTAAATCTTATGATCACAGTTATTGCATGAAGCCAGTACAGTAGCGTAGCCAGAACGATAATTGGGGTGGCCCATATTCATATATTCGTGATACGCAGGATTAATTTCTTTTCAAATCAATTGTCTTTGAAGTCTGTTAACATAAATATATGAATATGGGCCCCACAATTATCGATGCTGGCTACGCAACTGACTGCCAGTATGAATCTGATTTTAGTCAGTGGCGTAGCCAGAACGATAATTGGGGGGGCCAATATTCATATATTCGTGATACGCAGGATTAATTTCTTTTGAAATCAATTGTCTTTACAGTCTGTTAACATGAATATATGAATAAGGGCCCCACAATTATCGATGCTGGCTACGCAACTGACTGCCAGTATGAATCTGATTTTAGTACTATTTGATTGCTCATGAAGTGGAAAAGACTTTAACATGGTGCAATAAAAATATATTTTCCGCCTGATGGCATCAATTTTAAAGCATATATGTAGTCTATCTTAAAGTAGTTGCCCGTTTTTTATGTTTGTTTAATTAAGGCGAAAGCGTTGCGCGTCAGTACCATATCGCAAGTGAAAACACGCGAACAAAATTCGAAAAATGTTTTGTGTACTAAATGAGTAAAGCGAGCCTGAATGACACAGATCCAAGATAACTATTGTCCAGGTAAAACATAATTCATTTAAACAAGACGCCTGCTCTGGCGTCAACTCCGGTGTGCCGCGCACTTAATCAAACATAATTCATTTTGGACAAGTGTACTTGTCATGGAAAAAATGGTCAAAATACAAATTTCGCTCGTGTGTACGAGTCAACAAAAAAAACTTGTCAAAGTAATGTGAGAATTTGTATGAGTTTGACCAACGGACCTATTTTGCAGTGGAAGCTAGCATTAGCGCCGTACGTTTCACTGCCTTGGCGATAAGAAACTGCTCAGGTAGAAAGACAGTTTATTATTGAATTTTGATTCGGAATCATATAGAAAAAGAAATAAGAGAAATACTGAATTACGTTATAATTACATTACAATCCTTACGTTATTACATTATTCAGAAAGGCGCCTGTTAGCGCGCTTACGTTTTCCACTGTACGATTACATCGCGAACTGCAAACTAAATTGCCAAAGTAAACTTCTTGGCACTTTCCCACGACTGAGCAAATAAAACTTGTCAAAGAAAAAAGTTTTCATCGAAAATTTGTTGTACATACACACTGCATTTGCCAATAAAAACTTATTGATCATAAGAAATCGTCATATAAAACTTTTTTTTAGGATTCCAGCATTCGCTAGCTTTTAAATATTTTTGGAGGAACCCCGGCTTGCCAATTGCGATGTTTATGTTAATAAAAATGTAGCTTCAATGCAGCTTGCATTACAAATATGAAATACAGACACTAACTAAATTCTTTTTTAACACAAGACAAGAATTGCGCTGTTTGGCAACTGAAAATGAATTAACTTGAGGGTGCTCTTTTTCTATGAAGAAGTGCCCCTGAAAGCATGTGCCCCCCCCCCAACTTTAACTTGCTTCCTACGCCACTAGTCGGTAGGGAGGGGAGGTTCCGCAAGCCCTTTTTTCTAAATGGTCGTGGGCCTACGTTGCAGCTCTCCTTATCCAAAACAGTTTCCCAAGGCCTGCATTACGTTAACCTCGGAGAACAGATTGCGTATAAAGCTATTGCGTATACAGTACCAACCTATTTCTATGGCTTTCTTTGCATTTGTCAATTTAAGCAATAACCGCAAAAATTGGCACTGCTCCGCATCGGAGATCATCCTTATCCTGGGCGTTTCAGCAGATGTTTTCTATAAATAAAGAGATAAAAAAGATCAATTGCACAATGGAATCCCTTTACACCACTGTAATCGCGATACACGTACGGTACGAGAAGCGGACAACGAAAAGACAACCAACAAATGAGTGTCATTTCAAATTCGAAAATCAAGAAAAACACAATACACTTGCATACATATGGCATAATAACACTCATTTCTGGCCTGGTGTGGACAAACGTAAATTATTGCCTATGGACCTTAGATTTATATAGAAACTTAAGGCCCTGTTACACGGTGCAATTTTTCTTGCAACTTGCAATGCAGTACGTTCTCCTTTTGTGAGATGTAAATTTGGTGATTACGAAACTTTTATCTTTATTATACTCCTTGTACGTTTCTTACCCTTACTTTTTGAATACTTTGTACTAAATTACATGTATTAAAAGTAGGATTGCATTGCAAGTTGCAAGAAAAATTGCACCGTGTAAAAGCGCCTTTAGACTTATAAAGACTGCAGAGACCTAGACCATATGACCTAGACTTAATACAGTCAGTGTTATGACGTAGTTTGCCAATGCAGCCAGTTGATAAATCAGGGACTGGCAATCTTTTCCACAAATGTGCAATTAACTTCCAATTAGTTAAAATTCCAATAGTTGGAAAAAGTATATTATCTTTACCATGCACAGACATAGAAAAAAGGAAAGAACAGAATGAAGACTTTTGCCAATTTCTTAAGACAATCTTTCTTTTAATTTTTTGGCTGATTCAGTCTGGACAATCTCCAATAAGATTTACTGTTTTAGGGCTGTGCGGATTGACATTCCATTAATTCCCTAATTAATGTTGTACGTGTGTTCATAAGGTTTTCCTCCACAATTTATTGACTATCATGGCCCAAGTTTATTTGATCAAAACAGAGGAACATAAATAATGTCATGGAAATTGTACTTCAAAGATTCACAAGTTTGTAGCATTGAGCGGGAGACTTGAATTTGGGAGTGGTGTAACTTGCCATTTGAGCATTTTTTACACAAAGTTAAAGAATATTTCAAATACTGCACTGCATGAAGAAATCATGAACTTCGATCAGCTTAATTAAATTGTATTATTCCTTGCCTTTATACAAATATATACCCTAACAAACAAAACACAATATACATAATATATTTAAGTAGTGGCAGCACAAGAGAAAAGTTGAGAAGGAAAAATTGATATTCTAGATAATTGCTTTAGGCATGTTTCAGAAATAATTTTGTAAATTTAAATCTGTGTAAATTAAGGACTAACATGTAATAACATTCAAACTAATGACTGAGCAAAGAGACTTTCCTATTTGGGCAAGCAAGAGGAAACATTTACTTGCCTCATGTACCAATTAATTAACAGGCAAGTGTCAAGTTATTCCAATGGCTGGAAGAAAACTGCTGCCAACATTTTTATAATTTGCTCTATAAAAATAGCTATTTATATTTTTTACTGAAATAAGGATGCAAGGTTTTCCTAAAATTGGCACCCCTCAGGCACGTACTTGTTTTCAGGGATGGATACACCCTACATCCCCAGGATGCTTTGCTATGTGACCTGCTTATAATATGCTTACATTTAAAGCGAACCTACACTTTTGTGCAACTTTTTTCCAGTGCAATGCTCTTGCTACTATGGCATAATGCCACTGCTGTGGCTGGAGACGATATATAGCTGGGCTTGGGGGAGGGCAGTGTGTGGGGATGTGGTACCTCCCCCCCCAAACATTAAAAATGCAGTCACTGTAAAATGTTTTTTATTGTAAATTTGGACAATATCACATGACAGTGATGACACCCACTTGTTTCTCAATGAAAAATACCATCCAACAATTTCAATTCAACGAGTAAAATTTAAGCCAAGTTTTAGGAAATTATGTTCTGACATGTCATAAACCTAGATCGAGCTGAAGAGTATTGAATATTAGGCGTCTCCACTTAATATTCAGACTGCAAACCATACCTCGTATAGTCTCCGTAGTATGTCTGGTTCTGTCAAGGAATTTTTCATAACGTATGCCGCAATTGGATTCGTAAACCCGTCCACATTTTTCCTCGATTTAAAAAGAAATTTTGATACATCGTCCAACTTATCATTGTACGACGACGACGTTGTGGTAGCCATCACAATCAGCAATTTATAGCTCGTTGATTCTGGGGAAAATCGTTATGGTTATGGTGCCAAATACCCAAATTTTCTGCTTCTCCCCCTGCTCTAAATCTGGTAATTATTAAAATCAGGTGGGGCTATTAAAGGTGGGGCTTATTTCCGTCAGATCACACCGAATCACCAATGAACAATGAACACTGCCAATGAATCGTGCTCCATATATAGAGATCAGTGTTTCACTTTGCCTGTCATGATGGCCAGCGGAGGTATTTTGAGCCGCCACGAATGCAAAGTCACGTTTTGTTCTATTGAGCTTTGATCAAAACATTTCTAGAAGTTTGTAATATTAGGGTTTGTAATATGGGTAAGTTTTATTTTTATATGCAAAAAGTGCGATTTTATATGTGATTTAGGAATAGATTTTTCCTGACCCAAACTGACAATGGTACCTATACATTGATTATAAAGTTCATATTAAAATCATAAAGCTAACAATTCATGCTATAATATGTACTCTCTTTATGACAAGAATATCCTATATTAATCTCTATTATTACTAATATACCAATTTCTTTTACTATAGGTGGGTTTTTTTCCAATTTATTTTCATCCTTATTTGGTTCAAAAGAAATGAGGATTCTCATTCTTGGTTTGGATGGTGCTGGAAAGACTACAATATTATACAGGTAAATACCTGGGCATCTTTGGAAGTCTTCTGATCATGCAAATTCAACCCCACATATGCCGGAACTTTATCCAAATGCCCAACAACTTCAACCATTAGTTATCTTTATTTGAACATGTTTATCAGGATGATATATGTACAGTGTTTTGTGAAAGTTTGGAGCTTGTAATGACTAGCAATATGTCACAACTATTTGAAGTTTACAATGGTCTTGTGCTTATTAGGTTTAGATAAAGTCAATTTTAGTGGGTTACTGTCTGTGAGTTAGTACATATCAGGGTTAGAATTTAGGAATTAAATCTGACCTGAACTATTAGGGCTATACTGCAGGGATAAATTAATTAAAAATTTACCTGGGTACTGAGATGTTGAAGTCAAAAGAAAGAAAATTAAAAATTTTCAAAACTCTCTCAAATAGGCTTCAAGTTGGTGAAGTTGTAACCACAATTCCAAGTATGTGTTTAAATTTTCAACTCACATTATCATCAGAAGGTTGTATGTGTCTGTCTATTTGATACATACAGTGTATATACAGCACAGTATTAGTATGATAACAGATACATTCTAACATTAAATACTACCATTATTCACACGACATTTCCATATGTACTGTACATGTGTGTGATTGTATTTTTTAGCAATTGGCTTCAATGTTGAAACAGTTACTTACAAGAATCTGAAGTTTCAAGGTAGGGCTATTGCTTTACAATAGGCTGTGAGTCAGAAATACATGTGCATGTTCCTAATAAATGCTGGAAATTAATATCATGATATTATATATATTTATCGGATATCACCAATATCCAAGATAGATTTTCACCTCGAAAGGCTACTAATGAAGTATACATTTTCTCCTTTCTTATAACAACATGTTTTATGTCCATCCCTTGAACTGAGTTTGCCAATAATCTAACATTACTTGTTTTATTTCTAAACAGTGTGGGACTTAGGAGGTAAGTGTTATTATACACTATCTTTCAGTTTTGTTTTTACTGATGAGTTTAGAAGAGTAAATTTCAAGTTCACTGTAGCTAGATTAGTTTCTCCTTTCACTTATAAATCGATTATTGTATGATTGTGGATTTCTTTCATTCTTGTCCAACAAATTATATGTAGATTTACATATTAGCTATTAGCTGGTTAAGAGATCCAAGCATCAGCAGATAGCATTTCTAGATCAGGTGAAGGGGGACTTCTAGATATATTATGAATTTAAGTTGCTGCTGCTGAGTACATTAGATATTCTGATATAGGCTGACAGGCTGTTGTGTTTCCATGATGGGATTTATGTGTTTCTAACCACATTTGCATTAATTGGATAATGTGTCTTTTTTTAGGTCAAACAAGTATCAGGTAAGAGACCTTACAGACGTGTTTGGATTACCAGTTTCTCTAAATAAACGTGATTAATAGACGTCCTTCACAACATCTACAATACTTACATAAAAGAATACAATAGCGATCTCTTAAATCAAGAAAAACAATTTCACATTTCCCTCAAGTGCACATACAGTACCAGTGTACCATGGTCAGATAGGTTAAAGATTCCCATACCCGAATAACTCAACTACACTGTAGTAACACTATCCTACCCTGAAACATTCTTACCCTAGCTAGCTTGTGCCTTAGTCCCTGAGTCCATACCAAGGAAGAGTAAGCTCATACTTTACCGTGGTATGACTCGGCCACAGGCTAGCTATTCTTGTGCCACCATGTGCGTGAATAAACCAGTGAGATATTTTCCATAGTGAGATATCCTCATGCAAGCCTCCCAGATCGTCAATACAGCTTTCTCATTATGTGAAAACGCGGAAAGCCTGATATTACGCGAAGTTTGATTGGCTTGTTAGTTTTGCGGAGCCAATCAAACTTGGTGTAAAATCAAATTTTTACGCGTTTAACGTCATCATGAGCAAGGTTTTTTACATGGGGTCCTGGCTGATACTGAAGAACAAGCTTTTCAAGAGATTCACCAATGATGCAAAATACCGTGAACTACGTAGCTATATCTGTTCTTTTTTCTACCCTAGACCCTACTGGCGCTGTTACTATGCCAATACAGATGCAGTTATATATGTGGTAGATAGTGCTGATAGGGACAGGATTGGTATCTCAAAACAAGAACTCCTATCCATGCTTGAGGTAAATGTAAAGCCCTGTTTATGCCTGCTTTCCATTGAGTCGTAATTGTCGTGAACAAGTTATTCCCACCGATGACGAATGAGAAAAAATTGTCCGTTTTATTTCTGGCATATGTATAGAAATATTCTGTCATTGAATATCTACAACTTTTATAAAGATATAGAGCAGTTTTTGTAGTTAAATTATCAGGTTAAGGCCCAAACAGACCGGACGCGAATTGGCAACGCGGCGCGAATTTTCAACGTTTTTAATTTTTCAAAATCAAATAAATTTTAAACTATCATAATATTCTTATAGATTACATAACAATAAAACATTTTGACTGCTCTAGCGTCCATAGTTTCCAAATTTTGCTTCCACAATTTAATTTATATCCTTCTGAAAACTCAAAATTCGCGTCGCGTTGCCGCTTCGCGTCCGGTCTGTGTCGACCTTTATTTATACGTGTATATACGTCGTAAGATCTGGCCTAAAGATAAGCAACTATATACTGTATTGTCCTCTGGCGGTGCATTGCTCAGCCCTTTTTATAAAGCTAGGGGGATCTAAAAAGCAAGACATTATTATAAAGACGCGACCTTATTATTATAAGATGATACAAAATGTTTTTTCGATAAGAACCGGGATTCAGTTTACCTGTTCTTAATTCAGACGCGTCTTAATTAAATTTAATAAAAAAACAACAACGCATGCGTGAATACGGCCGAAAAAGTCAGAAATCAGAATAGCGGAAAATACACCATAAAAAGCAAAACTCCAGTAAAAACAAGAGATACGTGGAGTGGCAACAACACTTCATACGGAATTAGGGAGCGAAGAAATGATCGAACTATTTATACCAGCTCGCGTCTTATTTACGTTGCGTCTTATTTTGCCTCCTATAAATTACCCTATTAAGCCTGTTTGTTCTAAACCAACTGCTTACAACCAGAAAAGATCGTAAGCCCCGTTTACACTACACTGAATTTATCGGCACGGCACGGCTAAAATTGGTACCCGTACCCAATTTTTTAAGTGTTCAAGGCACCAAAACAAAGGCCGAGAACAGATGAAATGAGCACGGGTACCCATTTTATCCGTGCCGTGCCAATAAATCGAGTGTAGTGTAAACGAGACTGTAGTCGTACAAGATTTTGTGATTCTCTTTGTAACTAACTGTACGGTAGTCAACTTAGCATCAAATGTGATATAACAACTGCCTAAAATAAACTTCAATGCCTAAAATAGGCAAAAACACTTCTCGACGTTTCGACCTGAGGGCATTCGTCAGGAGAGTTAGTAGGATTCTGTAGTCAGTCTCTTCACGATTCAAATTCCACATTCCCCTAACCTTTCTATTCTTCTACAAATATTAACGCTTTGGGGTAAAAGTCTATGACTTAATAGGCTTAGCCTTCGTTTTGGGATTAATGTAGCTACCAGTATAGATTGTAAAAATCAATATTTAAACCTGTCTCAAAAATCTTCTTCACAGGAAGATGAACTAAAAAGGGCAATTCTTATGGTCTTCGCCAATAAGCAGGTGAGGGTGAAGTGTTTCATTTTTACTATATTCAGAAAATCATGAAAAAACACGTGTAATAAAATTTTAATTATTTTAGTTCCTCAAATCGTCTTCTCTCATCTCCATACCCCTTAGGGTGCATTTCCACTTGCAGAGAAAGAGTTTGCTAGCGAAATATTTGCACGATGTTTTCTTTTGAATTTTGACGGAATAAATAGATTAGTTCAGCTTAACTCTTCTCATTTAAGGGCGACTTTACACCTGGCGGAATTTTGCGCCAATTTTGCCCGAATTTTTCGTTGTCTGCGCTCTTTCATGCAGAACTAATGTGAGAAAAACCAGGGCGCTATAAAACACCGAACAAACACGTGTTTTATAGTGCCCTGGAAAAGCAAAAAGAAATTCCGCTTCGCGCGCAAAATTCCGCCTAGTGGAAAACAGGCTTAAAAGAAAATACGCAAATATTTCGCTAGCGAACCATTTCTCTCCTAGTGGAAATCCAGCCTTGATTGCATCACTAGTTGAAACACTTCCTCCAGTATCTCAAAATATATACAAATCTACTGCAAAAACGTACGAAAGTGTGTTTAGCATCTCCATCGTTAAAATGATATCAACTGGTCATGTAGGATATGGAAGGTTCAATGTCAGCGACAGAAGTCTCGACAGCTCTGGGTTTAGCAGCGTTAAAGAGTAGAACGTGGTCAATATTTAAGACATCAGCGTTGAAAGGCGAAGGATTAGAAGAAGCCATGGAATGGTTAGTTCAATTATGTTTTTATGTTATCTTAATTACTAGCGATCTAAACGAGGCGTTCTGTCATTTTCACAGTAACCTTTTATAGAAACTCGATTTTCACAGCATGGGCCGGAACGCATACCTGTATACTATAGTTAATAATGAGTTAATAATGAACTACCCTACGTGCTGTGCGGAAGCCGGATAGTGCTTTCCGCCAGATTCGATTATCTGAATCAAATTGACGTAATTTAATTACACGCTATCCGACCAACCTCCTCCGCAGGCCCTTTTCGGGCAAATATGGCGGGCTGTGATATCTTGCAGGTAGAAATTTAAACCGCGTTTTCCAAAATCGCCCGAAATGCTCCCTAGCGCCTGCGGAGGAGGTAGCTATCCGACTATCGTTACATACGTCAATTTACGCATTCTCTCATGCACAATTAACGTTCTCTGTAGCCTGGCGGTTACAGCACTCCTCCGGAATCGCGTATGCCGTAGCTTCGATTCCCAAGGGAGGACCAGAGTTGCATTTTTTGCGTTTGAATGCCTGAGCACTCTGTTGGGACCCACAAGTTTTTAAATGTTTGACATAAGCATTTTTATGCATGACGACAGTGAAATTTGTTTGTACGCACAAATGATTTATTAACAATTTTGCCACTTTGCAAATATGGATAACAATTCTAGAGGTTTAAAGGGTCTTAATTTCGAGTGGAATTAAACACATTTTAAATTCAAGCCAGAAACAGTTGAGTTTTATATGATGGTAATGCCGGGAATACACATTAACCACGCTTGTTCTTGTCAGCTACCTCTGTAGCTCAGTGGCAAGAGCATTGCACCGGCATCGCAAAAGCGTAGGTTCGATTCCTGCCAGAGGACCTATAGTTGGCTCATTTTTCCATCAACTGTTCCAGGCTTGAATTTGAAGTGTGTATAATTCCACTCGAAATTAAGACCCTTTAAACCTCTAGAATTTACCTGCATCGAGTAAAGTGCCAAAAATCATATGGATAGCAATATTTGAATTTGCAACTCAAACACAATGACCTCGACACGTTCCTCTTCTCTAGCAAATTTTAAGTCTTGTGTTTAGCATTTTATTAAGTTGAAATTTGCGTTAATGATACACACATGCAAGAATTCACGAACAAGTCAAAAGACATTCAAGTTTTAACAAATTTTGCTTTTGGGGACACCCTGTAAAAAATATAATGATGCGTTTCCTGTTCAAATTTATAGAAATCTTTTTATTAATTTAATTTTTAGGTTGGCAACAGCGTTGAAGACGAAGCAATAGAATTTTTGGAGACAAAGGATTTTGAAAAGAATGAATTTTTATACTGTACATCGTACGAAAATGGACGTAGTTATTATTTGAGTAAAGAACGTAACACGGGTCTAGATGTTAGGGCATGCAGCTATCTTCTTACTGCAGTAGTTTACAATCACAGGCTTTCAATGCCCCTTTGTTAGCGAAACAAAAGACTTTCTACGCGTTGATCAGCCCTGTTTTGTTAAAAATTGACTCTGTCTGATCTGATCATCTGAAAGGACCTTTTCATTAGGCGCCGTGCAAACACGACACATGCATGGATGTAAATTATTGTTTAATTCTACCGCGATATTTAAAGTTTACCCCCTATTTTCATCAAACATGACGTAATATGACGTAATAAGTCACGTGACCTCTATAGCCAAGTCGCAGACCATTTCAGCTTGCATGCAAATAAACCCATATCAGATGTTGTGATCATGGAATAGTCGATAAAACTTAACCATTTCATACCAGGTGATTTAAATGGGTTAATTTGCATAGAAGCTGAAAAGGTCTATTGTGTTCTAGGGCTGCTTTCCACTAACCCGTTTTTCATACGCACGTTCACGCACGTAAAACTGGTAAAAGTCTAAATTCTTATGCATGTCATGCATAGGAGTGTATTTGAAAAAAAAAACTGAAAGATCCGTATATTTTAGTATGCATTTGTTCTATTATAAAATTTAAAAACATTCACAGTTTTTTGCGTGTAAAAAAACGCGTATTGAAGTCGAAAGCAGCCTTAAATTTTATGCAGATTCGTGTCCAGGTCAGTCCTAAGCGCAACGTTATTTCATGCAAAAATTTTAATTGGGTCTTGATCCGTTTGAACTGGATGATTGATGTGCCTCTATAATAATTTGCAGTTTAAACTGCCGCTGTTTTTATTACGATTTTTGTGAAACCTCACATGCAAAAGTTTTTATTGAATATTTTCAGTAACGCTAAACCACACTGAATCATCCACAGAAAGGGACCCTATATAGCCCCTTTTTTTCTAGACGAATTTATTCGCGCGACACGAAGCGATATCTGAAATTCGGTGATGTGATTGGTTTGCAAAAAAATTCGCCGCGAAAAAGTAGAAACGCTTTCTACGCACGAATAAATTCGCCTAGTAGAAAACGGGCCTACGCATGTTATTGCGGTTATCCTGCTTGTACATCGTTCAAATGTTGTAAACTTATACGTGTGTTACACAGTTACCTAAAAAGATATGACAGTACAAATGACCGCCTTGACAAAGACGAGTCAAAATTTGAACTAATTCAAAGCTTTAAAATGGGAATGTAGATTAAAGTTTATTTGACGGAAACCCGTGTTTCAATTCCGATTGTCTGTAACAATAATCAAATGTACAATGTTAGCGCTGAAACATTGATGGGAATAATCATAGTTTAATTAGTTTTAACACAAAGTAATTAATAGATTCAGAGCATCGGCGCCCCAAAATTGCGCGAGAAATTTTTCGGTAATTTGTCAATATAATGAAATAATGTCTAATTACATAAGATAGGAAGCTCTTTTTTTTACGTTTCGAACCTTACCACTTAGACTATGACAAACTACCTCAATTATATTGTCCAAAACTAATAAAAAAATGTAGTATTACGAATTACGAATGAAATATAGAATTGCGAATTACGATTTAAAACTGCTTTTAACATGACAAAATACGGTAATATTTATATAGTTTTTGATCAAAAGCTTTTCGTACGATGCGGGGTGACAGTGCTCCCTGTACTCGTCATTGTTTTTAAATATTTTACATGATCCTATTGGCTGAGGTTTGTTGGTCTGTTTTTTCAACCAATAGGATCATGTAAAATATTCATAATCGTCAAACCAACTGTCAATGTTTTGGAAACTCTCTAATATGCAACAATGCAGGAGTTCCCTTTCAGGGGAATCTGCCCTCTTGCCTCCGATAGGCTTGAAAATTGTATGAAGGGATTTTTATTTCCAATCCCGTTTGATACACGGGATGAAGTCAGAACGTGGTAAGAACAAAAACTGACGACCACTCGCCTAAGGTTCCGCTTGTACCAACCACTGAACCGTGTCTCTATTATACTGCTATGTTTACAGTCGTGACAATAGAAGCGTTACGAAAAATATCGAGTAATTCATTTGCTCAAATGTATCATTTAGCTTACGGAGTTCATCAAATATTTGAAAAACTCCTAACTTCCGGTCTCGAATTGACCACTGTCAAATCCTATTGGTTAATGAAATAAGTAGATGCATATGATTGGACAGTTCGAAACCGGAAGTTAAGAGTGTTTTAAATAGTTGAATAATTTGATGAACCACTGAATGGATTCCTTCATATTTTTCGGAACGCTTTTATTGCCGCCGCTGTAAGTTATATTAGTTGAGTTTTGTGTTGCGCGATGTTATGTGAAAGCAAAGAATAAACTTTTTTCTATCTTTCTACTCGTATTAGAATCGCGATTCCTAAGATAACACATTGTATTACTATCAATAGTGTTACCGTGAATATTTTGTTTTTTACGCTTTTCAATTCCACATTTATTTTTTCCGTTGTCAACTCACACACATTATTTATCCCTACTTTGATTGTCCTGTCCATGTTTTCCATCTTCCTCTCCATGTTTTTCTAGATTTCCTAGATTTCTTCTTATGTCGGTTAATTTCGTATTCGCATCTTCTGTTGTCGTCCCCATGTTCCCCACGTCCCTTCTTATATATCTAACATTCGTCCCCGTCTCATGTATTGTCTTCCGCAAACTTTTAATCTTAGCGTCAATGTTTGTCATTTCTTTTGCCATGTTCTCAATTTTTGCATCTACGTTCGCCGTCGTCGACGTAATTCTTTCAATTTCAGTCTCGACGATAACAAACACCGACTTTATTTGTTCACAGCTGTGGCATTTTGATCGTCTAAACTCGCAAACTTCATGCTGGTGATAATTCAAATCTCGTTTATTGACTACCTCATGGCAACCTTCATTTCCGCAAAACACGGGTTGGAAACCGCACACTTCGACGTGTTGCTTCAGGTTTTGTAACTGTATACGTTCCAGACAACCCCTGCTGTAATGATCACAACGAATCATTAACTCGTTTAAAACATTTTTCACAACTCTCGGGATTTCGCTCAATGATTCGACAGTCATCACCTCGGTGCACGTTGGGCACGCTTGGCAGTTTTTATGAATATGCTTCGTGATACAATCGCGACAAAAATAATGTTCGTTTCGACACATCACGGGATCTTTTAACACATTGTAGCATATCAAACAGTGAAGGAATTCGTCCACATTCGATTCAAATCTTTCCTCTTCGTACCCGAACTCCATTATTTTGTGCTTTTCTATCGCGTTATTGCTGAACAAAACGTTTGTTATCAACAGCACACTATTAAACGTGAGAAGACCACGATTAATCTTATTGCGTTCGACGAAGGAGAACGCTTCCTAGCTGTGTCATATCGAGATTTGCGATGTCAGATTCGCCTCGTTCTGATGTGTCGTCATAGTAACTGGAGACCATGTGCTCGCTCTCTATCAAATCTGCGAATTGCGAGGCGAAGTTGGGCGAAAATTGGCGAGTGGAATTTTGTCGTTTTAAAGGAACGTAAGTAGTGTTTTATATATATTTTTCGATATTTTGGTACTTGAAATGATTGAGGATTATTATATTGGTAGCAAGGACCAAAGTTGCGTTGTTTTATTAACAATACAACCGACATTGAGAATCTCAAGTTGGCACGTTTTTAGTGAGCACGATTTTTATACAGCAGATAGAACTTTGCTCTGTGTGAAGGGTTTAAATGGTAAACCAAAATATTATCTTTCCTCTTTGGATGTTGATGAAGTTCACTTTGTTAAATGTTTGATTTTGCACAGTTGTTTTGTTCAAAAATATGAGTTTATAAGCATGTGTTATTTTGATCTTAAAAACCCTGTTTATAATCATGTATTTTCAAATCCCGGTTATTTGGCTGGGTTGCCTTTGGGCACAATGACTATGTCTATAGCAGGTAGTCACACAAATCATTATACAAATCCCAGTTATTTGGCTGGGTTGCCTTTGGGCAAAATGACCATGTCTATAGCAGGTGGTCAGACAAATCAACACACAATCAATCTTAGCTGTTTTGTGGGCATGGTGAATACAATCAATGCCAGTGATTATAAACCAGCAGAGCAAAGTTTTACTGAAGAATTCAGCAATTTAACCTATTTTGAAGATATTGGCAATAGCAGTGATCTGCACAGTATTAGTAAATTACTATATTCCTTGTACCAAAGGTGTACCTGCTTAAATGGTATTAGTTCATGTAATTTATGTGGTGGTATGTATTCACCAAGTGAGGAGTGCAATTTGCCCTGGAGTGTTTTAGAAAATAAGTTGGCTTTAATAGGTCGAGTGCCATATGACACTGGAAGTTCACCAGGTGACTGCTTTTTTGCATCATTAGGGCATAGTTTATATAAAGATCCTAACTGCCATTTTCAAATTCGTAGTGCAGGAATTGCACATTTAGTCAGTAACCCTGAGTTGTATATTGAAAGTCTGTCAGGAATATCATGGGAAAATTATATCCGACAAATGTCACAACCTGGCACATGGTGTGACAATATCATTATGCAAGCTGTAGCAAATGCCTTAGGTTGCACTATGCATATTACTGATTCCAGTCAAAACTCTAACGCCACCATTTTAAGCCCATTTAACTTAGAACAAAGACAGAAAATTGCATTTTTGGGGTATATAAATGGTATTCATTATGTTTCTACTTTGCCAAATACAATCACTGGCAATGAAAGAGATAATAAACGGAAGGAGACAATGGAAAGAAGTAAAGTTTATGCTCGAAAAAAAAGGGTCAATGAAACTGGTGATGCTAAAAAGCTTCAGCTAGAAAAAATGGCTGCATATAGGCAATCACATAATATTGGTCAATCACAGTATTTAAGTGAATTTGATTTCATGAAAAATGGTCCTTTGCATGAGCAAAGTTGGGCAAAATGCAATATGCAACAATTCCACAAGTCTGTGCAGTATTCAGTCTGTCAGTGTACAGTTTGCAAAGAGGTATGGCCAATTAAAAGCAAACCAAAATTTGTTAGTAGCTATGTATGCTTACGATGTTCCAGAGATAAAAACAATCCCAAAAAGTTTTCTGATGGTAACAGCATGATTCCAGGACCAGTGCCTACTGAGTTACAAGGCCTAACTCAAACAGAAGAAATGCTTATTGCTCGAGCTTTACCAATAATGAGGGTTTATGTCAAACCACATGGGCAAAGGGGGTATTCTGGGCACTGCGTCAATTTACCTCAACATATTGAAGAGCTTGCATCCGTTTTACCAAGATATACTAGCGACCTCTCTGTTATTGTAATTAACATGAAGGGCCGTAACAATACATTTAAGGATGTAACAGTCAGAAGAGAAAAAGTGCATAATGCATTAACATGGCTTGTGAGAAACAATCCACATTATAAAAGTGTCACCATCAATCAACATGCTTTAGAGTTGCTCCCAATAAATGGCATTCCATCTGATATCACAACTGTTGAGTCTGATAGTGATATTTTGTCAGAAGAAATGACATTACCTGACATAGGACCCCCTACTGACAATGATGAAGACAAAGTTTACAATCAATCTACAGAAATGAGCAGTTTTTTGCCAGCCTGTGAAAAACACAGACTAGAAGTGGATGCAATAAAAAATCAATTGTTTCCAAATAACCAAATCAGTTGGCCCACTGTTGATAATCAACCTATAAATGAATATCAAACACCATTTTTAGCAACATTAGCATTTCCTACTTTATTCCCCGATGGTACAGGGGACCCAACAAATCCAGCTATTGTAAGGGATATTCCTTTAGGTGAGAAGATTAAGCATCTTATTAAATTTGCTGAACACATAAATGGCAAATGGATTTACAGATTTGCAAGTCATCCTAGATTCAGTTATTGGTCATTCAATATGTTACAGAGAAAAAGAGTCTTACAACAAAGTGGGATATTTCTTAAGCAAAACCCAGGTGAGGCTCACCTGACAATAGACGAACTCCTTGAAATGGCAGGAAATGGTAACAACAATACATTTATTTCAAAGATATCTCGATATGTAGCAAATATTGCTGGCTCAAACGCCTACTGGTATAAAGTAAGAGAGGATCTTAAAGCCATTGTAACAACTGTTGGTGCCCCTACATTTTTTTTTACATTTTCGTCAGCTGATGTGCATTGGCCAGACTTGCATAAACTGTTTGGAAATGAAAATAGCACAAGTGAAGAAAGGCGGCAATCAGTAATAAATAATCCCCACATTGTTGATTGGTTTTTCACTCAAAAACTAGAAAGTTTTATTAAACACTGGTTATACAAAACACTTGATGCCAAGTGGCATTGGTATAGATTTGAATACCAATCAAGGGGAAGCATACATTGTCATGGCATTGCTAAGCTTAACAATGACCCAGGTTTGTGCGACCTAACTAAGATTGCCCTTAAAGGATACTTGGCTGAAAAACTAAGAGATAAGAACCAGCAAATAAATACATCTGACGTTGATGAAGTCATAAATGCTGGTAAAAAAGCTGCCAAAGTAGCTTGTCAATATGTTGACTGGATGCTTTCAACAGTTCACCCTAACGAACCAGATGATATGTGGGTTAAACCAAACATTCATCCTTGCCAAAAGCTTTATCAGAACATACCAGATTGTGATATGCATGCTGATTATTGCGATTTGTTAAATATGGTTCAAAGGCATACACGTTGTAGTACAGGGTATTGCTTGAGAAAAAAACCTACTGATTCCGAACTAAAATGTAGGTTCAATTTTCCAATAAAACCATGCCCTAGCACAAGGTTGGAATTTGAAGAAATTCATACAAAAGGTAATGAAAATCATTATAGGGCAAAAATTGTGACCAAAAGAAATGATTCACGGCTTAATAACAACCAGCAGCTCCAACTTCAGAGTTGGAGAGCTAACTGTGACATACAAGTAGTGATTGACCACTATGCATGTGTTGAATACCTTACCAAGTACGCTGCTAAAAGTGAGCCTAGAAACTCAGTGCTTAAAGCAGCATTCAATACAATCATGAACAATGTGCCACGTAATAGTAATCCTCACAATGCTATTAAAAAAGTAGTTATGCGAACCATTGGTCAGAGGGATTATGCTGCACAAGAAACAATGCACCACTTACTCACACTGAAACTTCACAGTTCTAGCTTTACCGTGATTCCAGTTAGTCTAAATGGCTCTCGTAGAATTAATACGTCAACTGCAGAAACTGATGTTTGTTCAAGCAACTCTCTTCTTGATGTATATGCCAATCGTGCACAATACAATTTTGCAAAAGATACAGCTAAATTAAATTTTGTTCAGTTTGCAACTCAGTTTAAGGTTGTGAATAATAAGCTCACAAGGCTTCCAGACAATGTGATTCCCAGAATTTTTCCTACATATTCATGCAATCCAACAGGGCCAAATTTTGCTCAGTACTGCAAATATCAGCTGTTAAGATATAAGCCTTGGCAAATAAAACAAGAGAATGCGTGGGATAATGAAGAGCCATCAGATGGAAACATGATAAATAAATGGCAAGAGTTTCTTCAAAAACCATATGCAAAGGAAAATGTTCCTGACTGGTTTGACAAATTGCAGTCTGCTGTCCAAAATCAACATGATCCAGATGATCAACTTACTAATGAACAGTCAGAAAACACACGTGAAGAATGGATGATAATATCTGATCTGCATACACCTTTTGTTGATACATTGGCAACAAACTTAGAACCAGCTTACGAATGGACAATTGATAGGGCTAATTTTTCTGAAGAACAAATTGCTGAAATGCCAAGTTGGATAAAAAATATGAAAAACATGAATGATACAAATAGTACAATAACATGTGATCAAAACATAGATCTTAACACATTCAGTGAAATGCAAGAACTTGCGTACAATATTGTCACATGTCACTTTAATAACACATCTGTAAACAAAGACTCGCTTGCACTTATTATCAACGGAGTGGCAGGTACTGGTAAGAGTTACCTTATAAATGCAATCCGTACACTGCTAAGTAACAAATGTGCAGTCACAGCAACTACTGGTAAAGCTGCCTTCAATATAAATGGTGTAACAGTACATTCCCTTTTAAAATTACCAGTTGGTTCCAGAGGAAATAAAGATCTGACAGGTCAAAATTTAATTAGATTACAAGAATCTTTAACTAACATTGATTACATAATAATTGACGAGTATTCAATGCTTGGTCAATTAACATTTGGCTGGATAGACAGACGACTAAAACAGACAACTGGTCTCCAAGATAAACTGCTTGGTGGCAAATCTGTTATCTTGTGTGGTGACCCAGGCCAGCTTCCCCCTGTGGCTGACAAACCATTATATCATGCAGTACCATCCAATAATGTTGGTGAACAAGGCCATCTTACATATATGATGTTTGATAATGTAGTTAAACTCAATGTCAACCAGCGTGTGCAAGGAAATAATCCAGAACAAACACGCTTTAGAGAATTGCTGTTGAGATTAAGAAAAGGTGAATCAACAGTAGATGACTGGGAACTGTTACTAACTAGACAACCTGCAAATATTGACAACTTGTCAGAATTTAATGATGCAATAAGACTATTTTTTAGTAATGTTGAAGTTGCCAATTATAATCATGAACAGCTTATCAAACTTCAGGAACCAGTTGCTCAAATTACTGCCAGACATTCAAATGCTACAGACAAAAGGATTTCATCTGATGAATTTTCAGGCCTTGAACCCCTACTTTTTTTAGCTAAAAGAGCAAAAATAATGCTAACTATGAATTTATGGCCAGAGGTAGGCCTTTGCAATGGTGCAACAGGGACAGTTGTACATTTTATATATGAAAATGGTCATCAGCCACCTCATCTTCCATTAGCAGTTATTGTCAAATTTGACAATTACAGGGGGCCATCTATAAATCAGACACTCCCATCATGTGTGCCAATATGCCCAATAACTGTGTCAGCTCAGTTGTCTGATGGTGTCCATGAAAGACAACAGCTTCCTCTAAAATTAGCATGGGCAATAACAATTCATAAAAGTCAAGGACTTACTTTACCTAAAGCCTGGATAAATATTGGGAAAGCAGAGAAAACCCCAGGACTAACATATGTGGCTATAAGTAGGGTGAAGGCATTATCATGCTGCATTATTGAACCATTCACTTATGAACGCTTAGCAAGTATAAAATCATCTAAGATGTTGCAGTATCGGCTAAAAGAGGAAGATAGACTTGCCAAAATAACACAAGCAACTTTACATGAGTTTCACAAGACAACTGTTTAGGTCATGGTGTCATTAGTCCCCACTAACATAATAAATAAATGTTATGTTATGATGCATTTGGTAATTTTGTTCTATACTATTTAAAGTTTGAGAAGGAGTGTTAAATGTCTGATAAAACATTACTACGAATATTTTGAGTGACCTAAAATAGAAGTACAAATTAAAGAATACTAATTAGAATGAAGCATTATATAATCATACTAATTAGGATGAACAGTTATATAATGGCTCATTTTCTCTTAGATACAGTTCTCCACAAGGTGTATGTATAAATTATTAATTGAACATTTTAAGGATATATTAAAAGTATATAGTTTAGAAATATATAGTTTTTTTTTATTGAAATCATTGAATAGTTAACTGAATATTGGTGGCCTTCGGACAAGTAAGTTAATAAAAACTTTTCTCCATTGCATAATTTATTTTATGCCTAATTAATGTTTTTCATTTTAGATTACGTGTACTTTCACATTTGATTTACCATGGATGAATCTATGACTGAACAGGATCAACAACAGACACAAGGTATGGATGTACTGTACATCCAAGTCTTCTTAAATGAAAATTAAAACCCGGCAAATAAATGAACGAAATAGCAAATTGGCTTCAGAAGTAGCAGTGAAAAGGATTTTAAATCAGACTGCAAAATTGGATGTTTAATGTCATCGATCTGAGTGACTATGTCTAACATAGTTCAAACAGAATGTTAGCCAATGAATTTCATCTTTTGTCCGTCTTGTCCGAAAGTCTCTTGCTGGGTTTTAATTCTTATTTTTAAATTAAATTATATGTAGCTAATACATGGTTAATTTTAATTGATACAAGATACTTTATCCTAGATTCCTCCGGCTTAACATGTTATTTGCATAATATTTCGGAAATCAAGAATGCGTCAGACTCCAAAAGAAAATATTTTAATTGTATCGTCCAGTGCGCTGACAAGCCAGTCAGAGCAGTCTGTTTTTCGCCGGAGAAAAGGCCAGGATTACAGGCTCTGTCAAACTCAAAAAGCCCAGTTAAGCTGAAAAATTACAAACAATCAAGCAACACCAACGATGATCTCACCATCACCAAATTCACCAAGGTTTCAGCACTTGATAAGAGCGAAGTCAATTTTGCCTTTTCGGAAGATATTTCTTCAGCGTCGACCGGCAAACCAGTTAATATTTCCGCCATATCAAAGCTAGCTTCAGAACAACTGATCGAAATCAAAGGTAAAGTGATGAAAATGTCTGGTATTAAAGTACAGTCAACACGTTTTGGACAAGTAAAGAAACAGGATGTCATTGTAGCGGACCCCACTGGCACAATTAAACTTGTTCTTTGGGGAGAGTACATAAATTCTCTCCAACAAAACGAGACCTACACCTTAAAGAATGTCCGGGTAAAATCGACGAAATACGATCACTACCTCAATACCCCGAAAAACGAAGGTTTTGTTGCAGTTGATGCTACTCCTTATTCTGTACCTGTCGTGGAATATGAGGACGAAATTGACACAACATCAACAGTCAATGGTACCATTATAGGAGTACAACAAGCTTCCAAACATATCGGTTGTAATGGCTGTGCCAAACGAAATGTTGAAATCGTTGCTCCCAACAAGGCTATCTGCCAGTTTTGCAAGCTACAACAGCTACCCTCAACCTGTCCTGTCCACTGGTCTCTGCGTATTCTCGTTAAGCCCAAAAGCGGCTCCAAAAATCTCCATCTTCGTCTAGACAGCGTTTCAACGCAGCGTTTGCTGGAGGTCATCAACCCTGCATTTCAACTTAAGACAACTACCGAAGATGCTATCACTACGATGATTCTGGAGAATTACCAGACCTCTCTAACTTTTACGTATGATGCGTTTAGTTACCAAGTTAGCGACATTTGTCGTTCTGAGGTGGAGCCTGTTAAACTTTCTACACCTTAAAGAACACAGCATGTTATCTACATTTAAAACTGTCTATCATGTAAGGTAGAACATTTCAAACACTTGTTGCAATTTTTGTTCGTTCACCATAGTTCATAAAAAAACTTCTTATTGACTTTACTGTTGCGGGCCATACTACAATATTGCAATGTTTATATTAAAAAATTGCTCGAGCAAATTGTAACCGTCGCAAACAAATTGCAAGTTGAAATTTACAATAGTTCATAGTGCCATCAGGGGCTTTGTTTTAAAATTTGTTGTAAATTTTAACTTGCAATTTGCCCGCGTCGGTTGCAATTTGCTCGAGCGATTTGCCAATATGGGTGAGGGATTTGTTACTTTATTTTTTTTACTTAGTTTTGTTACTTAGTTCTGTTACTTAACACTATCCTCTATACAGTTACATCAATTTCTTTGTCTCAAAAAAGTGAAGCCTTTTAACTATACAACATATAACTGTAGTCATCCTACACCTGAGATTGCTCTGAGACAGTCTCTGACTTTGAATTAATGGATAAATAAGAACACATGGGATACTGTATTTTTTAAATTTTCTTATTTTTGTTTATATCTCCTCTGTGCCATGAGTAACAGAGCTATCAAATTATTTCAAAATTTACACCTAATTTCAAGTTGAAAGATTCACTTTTTATAAGACTGTAATTTCAGTAAAGACAAACTGTATATTTTGACATTTTGTTGTTAAATAAAGCATATGAGCCATCACTGTTGTTAAATTACTCTTTTTGCTGGTAAACTTTTAATCATACGCTGTGACGTTTAATGTTAGCATTTTTGTTAATCATCCTTAACCGAAATTGACACATTTCGAACGCACATTACTAATCTGTGATTACTTCTAGTACTAAAATCTTAAATTTTTAATTTCACGCCACAGACAAGACGTCGCTAGCGCTTCTGGTAAAATGATATCACTGAGGTGTGGAGATTTCACAAGCATTTGACAGTCAGCGGAAACTCCTAGTTATTTAAGCGGTAATTCCCGCTGAGTTCTTGGAAAATCATTGAAGCAAAATATTAGGGGGAACACTTGTACAGAACAGGGGCCAGTTGTATCAAGTCTGGTTTGCTTAAACGGTGGATAAGTTCAAAATAGAAAGCAAGTCTGTCGTTTTATTCAACAAGCAAATTAAATGTTTGTCACCTTAATATAAAGATACTGTTTAAAACTACATATTCAGTGCATAATATTCAAGTTGACCCATCCAAGAGAGTTGTAAGAGTGTTATTTGAATGTTAATTTTGACTTAACCACTGTTTGAACTAAACGGGCTAGATAAACCAGCCCCAGGTGGCAACAGACACATTCGGATCGACAGTCATGCAAGGGAGCTGGAGTGGGTGGTGATGCACTTGAGCACTCCCAGTTTTAGCAAGGTGGTCAATTAAACGCGACGTTAATCGACACATGAGCGACGGTAATCTGGTGGTTAATCACTTTAAGAGTAGAAAATTAATGGGGCATGGTAGAAAACACGGATAGCGGATATCTGCTTAAAGCCAGTGGTATTGTTTCTGCGGACACTTGGTGTAGCGTGCGTTTTTGTTCCTTGGGAAAAATAAAAAAATTAAAAAATATGCAGCCTCTAAAATGCAGCTCTTATAGAAATACCTGATGAAAGCAAAGTGTTTGTCCAGAAAATGCAGATTGTTTGGCTACCATAACCTCCAATTTTTTAATGTAGTCAGTTCAATCTTAGGCATAACATTAAAATTTTAATTTAATCACCGAGTTTATCTCGTCAGTTTTTATGATTGATTGCTATTTGAATTATTATGCTACTTGTACCAAGGTAATTAAGATATTAATGATTGTGACAAGTTCCATGTGCTACTGATTCCTCATTTTTTTAGTTAAATTCTGTTCACTCATCTTTTCCACTGTATTTCGTCTTCATTAATATCATGATGCCGCCAAGAACATTTCAGAATTTTCTCCAAAAAATTTAAAAATGAAATAAAATTCACTTTGACATTTTGAGATTAAAAAATCTGATAAAACGATGGCCGGGGAAAACATTTGCCTCCTGAGAAAATAAAAGTGTTCACAGAGGTAATTATGAGACACCAGAGAATTGTTCAGAACTACTCCAAGTTCGTGTAAATCCCGAAATTTGGGGCCAATTGAATTCCTCTCGAAGAAAAACTGATTTACAGTTGTCCGAAATGTTCAACAATCAACTCAGAAAGTGGCTGTGGTGATATTGCAAATTGTGAATGATACGTTGCCAAACAAAGGACGAGGCCAGTAAGAATCCGGCATCTCGTTTTGCTTATTCCATTGCATTTCTGGGTCGTATGTGCTAGTGATCTATCACGTCTCAGACGGGAACAAATAACACTTGCTCTAAAGAGAGAGTTTGCCACAATTAGTACCAAAGAAATATACAATGCCCCCCTTCGATTTGGCTCAGACCTTCCAAAACAGTTGAAGGAGGCCGAGGCGTGGTGAAAGCTATTTGTAGGTAGAAGCATCACAATATTGGTCTGAAAAGGCCAAACTGACTAATGACAAACACATGATAATAACAAACGCTGATCTCTCACCCAGAAGTGTAATTATATCCCTTCCCAAACTTTAACCATTTTGGGATTTCGGTCTAAATTCCAAAATGATGACTATAACATTCACTGATGAAAAAGCAACAAATTTAAAACGATTATCGTTCAAGATCTTCTAAACAGAAAATCTTGCACAATACGAGAAATTGCTCGGGTGATTGGTAAGCTGGTGTCTAGCTTTCCTGGTAGAATGTATGACCCCCTCTACTACAGGAAATTAGATAGGGATAAAACCCTTGTGTTACAACAACAAGAGGGTTATTTTTATGCAGTAATGACTATATCACAAGCAGCTAAGTCAAAATTAACTTCGTGGGTGCATAACATTACATCTACATTTAACATAGTCTCCCATGGACCACCAGTAAGGCAGGTCACAACTGATGCTTTCCAGCCTTCCCTACAAGGTTGGCTTTATCATCTATACTTTCAGTACAAGAAAGATTAAAATTCGGAGATCATCCACTCGTTTCTCGTTTCCTCAAAGGGATATTCGAACTAAAACCTGCACAACTAAGACATATACCGAGGTCTGGAATGTTAATATGGTTCTGGCTCACTTGAGATCATATAAACACTCAGAGGAATTATCATTAAAAGAGCTTACCCTAAAAATTACTATGCTGCTATGCTTACTTACCGCTCAACGATGTCAGACAATTCACTTGATGGATATCAATTATATACCGAATTGTTTTTAATAGAAAACTTAAGCAGACAAAGCGTGGACATCATTTGGAACCTATGGAACTTTTAGAGTTCCCACTCGACAGAAAACTGTGTGTTGTGGTGGAACATCTTTGTGTGTATTTACGAAAGACAAAAGTTATCGGAGGTTCAGATTCACAATTGTTATTAAGTTTTGTTAAGCCACATGCACCAGTTTCCAAAGAGACTATAGCCAGATGGATTGAAACAGTTCTTCAACTAGCTGGTATTGATGTATCGAAGTACAGTGCACACAGTAGACGCATGCGCATCTCATGTGACTCCTTCGTTCCTGGCTGATGACAAGACAGAATTACAATCAAACTTCAACTTACAGGCAAGTCTCGTTTAATTTTCAATTTTGCACTAATGCTGCCGATATTTCATATTTCTGGACGAATTTATGCTGAGAGAACATTAACAGGTAATTAAAATCCATGTTATGTCTACAACAAAAGTGTTTTAGTCGTTAGTTCACCATATTGGGCTACGTCGTTAGTCAACCATATTGTGCTATTAGCGCGAAGTCAAAAACTTCAAACTGAGTTCAAAGCAATAATCTGCCATCCTTTTCGCTATTTCGCGCTCACAGTGTAGCTTGCTCATGGGCAAAATGCGAATGTGGACAAAAGTATTTAAGTTCCTGACAATATGTTCATTTTGGCCGATGTGGCATTTGCTTGTTGTGTAATTATCCCTGCATGGTCATTCAAGATTGACAGGCCAACTGATTTCTGCGACATTCATCGTTGAATGGCCCGATTTATACTAGAAACTAGAGTCTAGAGACTGTTCATCCGTCTGGACAAACTTGGGCAAGCGAGATGAGCAAACACTGGCAAACAGACGGATCATCCGTCAACACGAATTATCTGCACACACTTAAGAAGTTTAATTATCACAAAATTATTCGTTTTTTTTAAATTTTGCCTTTGGTCATGTAATTTTGTGCTGTGACATATCGTGCATACGGTTATAAATATTATCTTGCATTTAACAGGGTGACAATGATTGTTTAACTGTAAATGGTAGTTCATCTTGACGCATCTCTCGCCAGTTTTAATACAACGGTTCATAAAAAGGCTTTTGTGCACTACGTAAATTATTTCGCAATTCTCGTGCACGTTCCGTAAACGCACGAACGATTTTGCTTCGTCTGACATATTCGTTTACATACAGATACAGGGTGTCTCAAAAAACCGGAACCACTTAAATATGCAAGAACATTAATACAGCATGATGGATAAGCACCTCTGGGAATTGAAAATGGCTCTTAGGGGCTGTTTACATGAGCCCTGTTACCGGAGATTCAGCGAAGCGTGAGATGATTTTGAGGTATTGAAACGAGCAGATAACATGATCCTGGCGCTTGTTTGGTGTCATAAAGACTTATTTCAGTACCTCAAAGTCCTCTCATGCTTCGTTGAATCTCGGGCGACCGGGCTCATGTAAACAGCCCCTAAAAGTTAAAAATGCTAAAAGTCATTACACTTTATTTTATTAACATATTATACTTAAATAAATCTCAATTTGCCGTTAGCTTACACAAACGTTAAATTTATTTAGGCAACTGTTCCATGAGAACACGATTAGAAGCATTTTCAATTCCCAGAGGTGCTTATTATTGCCTTTTAGAACAATATTAATATTTTTGCATATTTTTGCGTTTTTTTTTTGAGACACCCTGTAGTTCGTCGATCTAGATAGTGTGTCGTATTTACTCAGAAGAATGATGCATCCGTCTGTGGTCTGCCGACGGACTATTCGTCCGGACGAAGCATCCGTCTATAAAAGTCTTATATAAATCGTGCCAATGTCAATATAAGAACACTGAAAGAAAAGTGCATGTGCATGTGTTTCTAGTAAGCTCTAATGCGTCATGCGTGCACAATTAAGAAATTAGCACAAAATTAGCACAAAAACAGTCATGCATCGTCCTAATTAATATTCCTAATTTGCATTTTAATGATGTTATATGTTAAAGATGGATGAAACAGAAGCACCCACAACTACATACAAAGGAATTATAATTTGCGTTTGTTCCTTTTTAATTTCTTCATTTTCACTGGGAACAACATCAAATTATGCCATAATGCTGCCGACATTCTTGGACGAATTTAATGCTGGAAGAACATTAACAGGTAATTAAATTTTTCTTGCTACTTACAGTGCAATCCTACGTTTAAGAGATGTAATTTAGTACAGGGTATACAAAATGTAAGTGTAAGAAACTAATAAACATAAAAATAATTACCGAATTTACCTCTCTCGAAAGTAGTATTGCATTGCAAGTTGCAAGAAAAATTGCACCGTGTAACAGGGATTTAACAAAGAGATTTTGAGTGTACCATATTATCCTACGGCTCCCATGCCCAGGTTTACAAGTCAAAAGTTCAAAGCAATAATCTATCATCCCTCTCCCCGTTTCGAGCTCACAGTTCCTGGCTCATGAGCAAATGTGGACCAAAGTATTCAAGTTACCGACAATTTAAAATATTTTCTTTTGCTTGTTGTCAGGGGCGGATCTAGGGGTAGTCACACCAATCACGCGACTAACGTAAAAAATCCGCACTAATTTGATTCAATGAAAGTGAAATAATATTTATTTTTCCGAACGCAGTCCAGTTGTAAATTTGCAGCGGCATAATTAATTTTCTGGCCGAATATTGAATTAACACTGATCTCTCTTGATTTCCCCGCTCTGAATTCAAATTTCAAACTGCACAATCGTGATCGTTCTGGAGTTGGTTAGGGGCGTTTCTGGTCAATCTGATTGGCCTATTCGGTGGTTTCCAAGGAGACAAAAATGGTGATCGTTTTGGGGGTTTGGTCTGATCGTTTTAGAGGTTGGTTATGGGCGTTTTTCATCAATCTGATTGGTCAGATCGATAGTTTCCATGGCGACACAAATTGTGATCGTTTTGGAGGTTGGTCTGATCTTCATTTCTTATTGGCTGTTTAATTCCTAACCGATCACGACCGATCAAGCGATCAGAGTCAGACTAGCCTCCTCCGCAGGCATCTCTTTAATATGTATTTATATTATGCATTTATATTTGACCGTGAGTAATATCACCGATCAGAGCCCATGTTTTGCAGTCAAATGTATAGTTCTTTGCAAGGGAATTCAAAAGAAAAACCGGTGTAGAGCAGTTTTAATGCGGGCGCTATATTCATGACACTATTAAATAACATGTCGTCGAGAGATGGATGTTTTCGTATTAAATATACTCGCATGTGTTCGACGAATTGAGAAGTGTACTGTTATAAGGTAATTATAAATTATCCAATGTTGATGTTTATGTAAACTATACCCTGATAATACTATAAGTTCATATAAACAATGGTCCGATAATTTAACTATGTTATTGTTAGCTTATATATTTTACCTAGGCTTTGAGGCTGTTGTTATTAGCATATATTTGCATTCGCCCGTCGCCCGTCAAATCGATTTAGAATTTCGAGCCTATTCATATTCTCATTTGTTGTATTGATTATATAGTGTAATAATCTGTAATTTGCAGTTTGAAAGATTTAGAAAGCTATGGATATTTGCGAAATCATTATAATATATAAATATAAAGCAATTTCGCTTTGACCAAATTCAATGATAACGTAATAATTAAACCTGTGTTCTTACATTTCACTAGACAATAACATTTTGAGCTGAAAATTTCTTGAGAGGTCTGTTCGAAGGGGTAAATTTCTACCATTATTGAGATTTGACTATTGCTATAAAAACATGCATTTTATACCCACAAAACGTTTCTTTTTAAACCTTCCATTTCAGTGCCTACACAATGTTTTGTGTGGCATTCAATAGCTGTGCTCTAGGAATTTAGCAGACTATAACCTGGCATTAAGCTTGGAAAGCCTCACAAATTTCATAAATCTGGCGGGGGGAGGACGATTGGTGACGAAAATTGGCGTAAAAACGTAAAAAAAATCCTAGATCCGCCCCTGCATATTTTGTCTCTGCATTCATCCAGGGCAGACATTGCAACTGATTTCTGCGACAATCATCAGTGAAAGTCAATATAAGTCACTTGCAAACGATAGAATAAGCAAATGAGCTGCTTCCCCCAGTGTGCGGCGAGCTTTTATTCACTTGTGCAATTTGGCACGAACGAGCAAATTAGAGCTTGCCATGGTTTCAACAACTTCGTACAAATCTGCAAGCCAAAAAGTTGTAACAAGCTTGTTGGCCACAGGCTTGCCACAGTTGTTGTCCACAAGCTTGCCACAACTTTACAACATCCCAACAAGCTTGCTGAGTCTGCAAGATGTGAACATTCTTGTTGCCTGGTGACAGAGCTGAAGCCAAGCTTGGATCTTCAACGCAGCAATCAATGAACTCAGATTACAAATTAAAAGATTGCTATTGTTAATTATAGAAAAATATGTTAATCAAAAGATTGCTATTGGTTTATCTGTGCAAAATAATATATACATGTGATGAGAAAGGAACAATTTTTGGCATAAATCTACCTCAAAATTGTCAATGAGTTGTATTGTAGTTTTATGTGGTTCTTAAACCATATATATTCTATTAAGAAATTTTTTTGAAAATGCACATCTTTATTAAAAAGACTTTATATTTGTTTTTCTAGCACTAATTGGATCAAGTCAGTATGCAATGATATTTATGTTTAGCCCATTAGCGGGATCTCTAATCGACTTGTTTGGAATGCGTAAAGTTTCATTTGCAGGAGGATTTCTTTATTCCGTTGGATTAATCTCAGCTTCTTACGTTAATTCAATATATGGTTTATTCCCGACATTTTCTCTGATGGTGTCTTTGGGAATTGCTTTACTTTATTCCTCGACTCAGATAACGCCTGTTAAGTGCATCTCATCAAAATACCAAGGAGTTGCATGCTCTTTTGTTTCTGGCGGCTGGTACACAGGATGGCTAAGCCTTTCCTTGTTGATCACATTTTTATTAGAGCAATTTCACTGGAAGGTTATGTTTCGTTTACTCTCATCTCTTGGAGTCGTTATTTGTTTGCTAAGTTTAACCTATGGTTGGATCAAACAGAATGGAGATATCCCCAACAGAAATCGAACACCGTTTTGCAACTGGTCCTTATGTAAACGTCCACGATATTTTGTTTTGGTTTTTGGTTCAGCAGTATCAATGTTGGGATTTCCTGTTGCAAATTTCTTTTTGGTATGTACTCACTCAACTCACTACACAATACAGTAGAAATTGTGAGGTGACTATTTTGAGCAATTCTATTTTCTCCCAATGTAAAGTTATATAATCTCATAATTTGTCATTAGAATGACACCATCTTTCAATGATTTTACAAAGTTTAACTTTTTTGTTTTGTGCAAGAAGAAAAGGGTTCATTTTGCTTTGTAAATGCTTAATATGTGACTTTTGTGAGAGTTTTGAAATTGAACTTACATCACCGAACCCACGTGGACTTTCTGTGTATACATTTCTTTCTGCGCGGTGACCCTGTACCGGCTGTACATGCAACCTCGCAAGCCAGGCTCTTTTACCTACGCTCCACGGCCCACGCTGCGGCAAAGACCCTGGTCAAGGCTGGTCACGTGATTCTTTTGTTACGCTTCTCCCGTGTGGGGATGGGTGGGACACAAGTAGCGCATAGATCACATCAGTTAAAACAGCGTGTTTCTAAGGACTGAATATTGAGCGCTGTTGTACTGCAAAGCGAAATAACATGTGTCGTTATTGTTATTTGACCTCTAAATTCTCTCATCAACGCCCAAATTTAGAAGATAGCACAGGCCTTAGAGTGTCTGTATTGAATATCAACTGAACTTGTGACGATACTAAAACCGATTCTATCGACGATGATACAGTCTACACATAGCACTTGAATCTAAATTCGGTTTATTGCTCTTTTTAGTTTTTTACTGCGCCACACTAGCTGTATTTATTTAGTTTATTGTGTGAACCGCTATTTTTAGTTGCGTTAGTACAAAGTCATCTGGATTGTGACAAGTGCTAAAAATAGCAGAAATGGTATATCGACTTTGCCACTCCTCCCATGGATATGAACTAAGCGCTAATTAAAAACCTCCCATATTTTGGGAGGTCACATGACCAGCCTTGACCAGGGTCTTTGCCGCAGCGTGGGCCGTGGAGCGTAGGTAAAAGAGCCTGGCTTGCGAGGTTGCTGTACATGGTTTTACCCGAAGGCAAGGATTGAAATAAACTATAAGAGAGGAAATGAGCATTATACAATGCATGCAGTGTCGGGCTTTTGTACGAGTATATATCATTTTAAGATTAAATCATAAGCTGTTCACTTTTCGTTCAAACATTGGCCAATAGAAAAAAGTTTCCATTTATCTGGCTTCTCGCACAGCTTTCAGGGGCGACTTTCTAGAACGGACATTATCTAGAAATAGAATGGACTAGAATGGACGATTATCTAGAAATTAATTAAGTACGTTTTTGTGGTATCACGTGATATTCTACCATTCAATTAAGGTAACAAAAACTTAACTCTGTCGTTCTCTTTTAGGCAGATCGTGCTAAAGCGTACGGCATTCACGAAAGCCAATCAAAATGGTTTTACGTTGTGTTTGGAATTTTTGGCATTACATTCGGACTTATAGCTGGAAAGATTGGGGATATGATAATAAGATATCACGTTATTTTGAATATATCAAGTCTCCTTTTTCATGGTATAAATACACTTTTCAGTTACCTATGTACAACTTACATAACGTTATTAATACACTCGGCCATCTCTGGGATATTTTTTGGTATTTACAATTCTACACTTTGTCTGTCTATATTGAATTGTGTTGGAGCGGCAAATATAGCACAAGGCTTTGGGTTTCTTGTTTTCGTTCAAGGATTTTCTTTATTTCTTGGACCACCCCTTGCAGGTGAGTATATTTTAAATGGAACCTTGACTGAACGTAAGAAATGGCAAAAATCATTCACGCATTGAAAAAGAACTATGTCCACTACATGTCATCATGAAGGATAGAGTACTGTCCAGAAATAACCTAACAAAAACCACGGTTGAATCGCGGTTGAATCAGGGTGAGATCGCTGTCGAACCGCGGGGTTTAGACGGAGGTTAAACCTCGCTCTAAGATTTTTCGATTTGGTTATTGTGCTTTCTTTCTCGTCTGCTCATAACATTTCGTTCGGATGCGAATTACCACTGGAAAGGTACTTTTTCCCATGCGGGCATTTGCGATTTCTATCGGTCGACCGCGTCCGAACCGGAACCTAACCGAGCCGCAACCGCAGTGTTATTTTTGTATTCTATAGTACTGTATTCTATATTCAGTTATTATCCTTTCTGTTTCTAGGTTTTCTGAGAGACGCAACTGGCACATTCAAACTTCCTTTAATTATTGCTGGATGTTTGGAAATCGTCGGAGCGTTAATATCGTTTCCAGTTGCCAGAGTAAAAATTGGTGATGAACCAGGCCAGGACAACCATGAGAATAGTGAAAACAACAACAATATTTAGCAAGAGACGAAGTCGAAGTCATTAATTTTAATTAGCTATTAACATGTTACAAATGGCATTTTAGTATAACTAGCGCTCAGTGGGCTTCCCTCAGCGGCGAGTAAAAACAACATAAGAGCTCTGGGTACGAGTTTGTTAATCGGTTTTTAGAAATTTTGAAATTATGAAATTAGGAAAATTTTGTCTACCCCTCCCCCCTCTGTAGATTGCATTTAGGAGCTCTTAATTGATATTACATAAAGTATACGCTTTTGAATTAAAAGAGACTTTTGCACTGAATTTTGGCTGTTATATACACCACTGAGCTAAATAATAACTCCTTGAGAATTTGCTCTTGATCAGAAAATAAAGCAAAAAACATGGCGGATTTTGAGCATTGTGACGTCACCTAGTCCCCTTTGCCCATCGTAATTACCGCTGACATAGCGCGATACAAAGTCAAAAATGTGTCCGTCACTCCCCCCCCCGATTTTTGACTGATATCAGTTTTTGAATGTTTTTTTGGGTAGCCGCTGCGCATGCGCAGCTAACCACTACGTTGTTGAACAAGTGTCTGTTGTCTGTGGGTATACGTATGTCTGTTAATCTTCGGGGATCGTCGGATAAACGTATTAAACGAAAGGTGACGAACATACTGTTCGTGCGTTCGTCAATACATGGTCAATTAAACGCGAAGTTAATCGACGCATGAGCGACGGTAATCTGGTGGTTAATCACTTCAAGAGTAGAAAATTAATGAGGGCATGGTAGAAAACACGGATAGCGGATACCTGCTTAAAGCCAGTGGTATTTCTTCTCTGGACACTTGGTGTAGCGTGCGTTTTTGTTTCTTAGGAAGAATACTGAAAATGGCGGACAACAGTAACAACATCGAATGGTGGAAAAACAATACGCAACTGGAGAATGATTTAAAAAAATATGTAGCCTCTAATATACAGTGCTAATAGAAATATCTGATAAAAGCAAAGTGTTTGTCCAGAAGGAGGTTTGGCTACCATAACCTCCAATTTTTTAATGTAGTCAGTTCAATCTTAGGCATAACAATTGAATTTTTTTTAATCAGCGAGTTTATCTCTTCAGTTTTTATGATTGCTATTTGAATCATTATTACTATTTATGACAAGTACTATGTGCTACTGATTCCTCATATTTTGGTTAAATTTTGTTCACTGATCTTTTCTAATGTATTTCGTCTTCATTAATATCATGGTGCTGCCTGCAAGAACATTTCAGAAGTTCCTCCAAAAAATTTAGAAACGAAATGAAATTCACTTTGACATTTTGGAATTAAAAAATCAGAAGTGAAGAACTTCTTTTCTCAATTTTTTTTTCTCACATACAACGTACTTTCCAACTTCCCCCCTCCTCCCTCGAAAAAAAGATTATAACTATCATGTTGACATGTTACCATCCCAATGCTTATTATTAACTAAATTTTAACCATGGATCAACATCTATTGCCACAGTTGCAAGTGTGGTAGAATGCTACAACCCTCCCAGATTAGGATAGATAACCCCCCCCGGGATGGGAGGTCATGTGACATTGTAAAGTGAGGGAAGGAAAACCTGTTATTTTGAAGTCATGAATTATTCATAAAAAATATACTGAAAATGACATGGAGTTGTGAGAATTTTGGCTTGAAACAAAAGTTCGGGTCATAGTGGTGCCGTGACCAGGATTTTATAACGATTTGGAGACAACATTTACCGAGATTCGAAGGGATTGTGATTGTAAACAAGACGTGCGAAAATGACGGACGAAGTCGAACCTAATGAGAAAGAGAGGGAATTGGAGACAAAAATGAACAAAGAGATCGAGAAATTAAAGTATTATCTTGAACAAACCGATGAATTAATCGAGGAGAGAGACTACAAGGAAATTGAAACAGTAAGCAAACGTTCAGAATTTATTCTCGATGAGATATATAACTTAGTGTCGACGATGCAAGAATTAAAATTGGACCGGGGCGAGTATACAGCAAGAGCGATACGACAGTGGAAAAAAACTGCCAAGGAAACGTATTCACCATGGGTATTGGAACTCAGTAAGTTGCAAAATATATTAGCGAAGAGAAAAGAGGAAATTACTTTTGAAGAAACAAGCCGGAAACGTGACACAATGCGAGAGGAAGAGGAGCATCATCGAGAGGAGATTAGACGACAAGAGCGGCAGTTATGGCAAGAGAAGTTACAGGCAGAGCTCGAGACAACCGAGAGAAAACTTGAGATGGAAAAGGCAGCTAGCACATCCCATGCCAAATTGCCCAAACTTACCATAACATCATTCAAGGGTACGGCTAGCGATTGGGTAAGGTTTGAGAACATGTTTTTGACTCAGATACATTCGAAACCTATTTCCGACGAGGAAAAGTTTGGTTATTTGCTTGAGATGGTATCCAACAAAGTGCGAGACAGGATTTCCAACTTAAGACCAGGTCCAGCCGGTTACAAGACAGCCTGGGATCGTCTGAAGAAAGAATATGGACAGACAAGGTTGGTAGTAAATTCCCATATTGATGAGATAATAAATTTGGAGACAGTTAGGGGATCGTCCCACGATAGGGTTCAAGTGTTTTATGAGAAACTGAGTAGAAATTATGACGCACTACGCACCCTGGATGAACATGCCAAACTAGATGGGTTTGTAATGTGCACCCTTAACAAGATACCCCAAGTCAAGCCGGACCTAGTTAGAACTGATGACAATTGGGAAGACTGGAAAATGGAAAGGTTGATTGATAATTTACAAGGGTGGCTAAGAAGGAACAAATCCCCTCATGATAACAATAGGAGGGACTCTCGGGAACGAAGCATGTACACTCGCCGAGGGGGAGACAAGGGCGGGAAACGAGGTAGTCAATGCGTCTTCTGCAAAGCAGAACACTGGAGTGACAAGTGCAGCTCGTATACTACCACTGAACAACGAAAGAAGTTCTTCGTAGAGAACAAGTTGTGTTTCAATTGTGCCTCACCCGGACATAGAGGTAGCGAATGTCGTAGTCGTGGATGCTTTCATTGTGGTTCGAAACACCACACAAGCCTCTGCATTCAAATCAAGAATGAGCCCCAACAGAGAGGTGGGGAAAGTGATCCCATACTGACGGGATATACCCCAGTCGTAGAAGAGCCAACTCTACCGGCGATAATACCAGTAAGATTGAAGGAGGAGGTGTTCTGGGCATATCTGGACTCTGGTTCCGGAAGGAACTTCATTTCGAGAGAGCAACAAAGAAACTCAACCTAAAACCTGTACGACATGAAGCTAGAGAAATTATTACAGTCAACGGTTCCAGCAAACAGTCAATGCCTATCTTCGACGTCACCGTAGAATCGCTGGATGGCAAAGCCCAAGAGAAAATCGAGCTGACCGGATCCAAGTTGAGTGATTTTACCACAGTGACACGACCGGATATGAAACAAGCTGAAACATGAATTCGAGCACACCAAGATAAACGATTCTACATGAATCCAGGAGGGAAATATCCCATTCATATGATCATCGGAGACAAGACATATTGCAAGATACGAACAGAGGAAGTCTTCAAAGGCAACCCTGAAGATCCGGTGGTGGAAGGATCGTCGTTTGGCTGGATTATTCATGGTGGTAACTATTCGAGTGAACAATGCATGTTCACAAGAGAAACAACGGATTATGAGAGATTGTATAGCCTGGATGTCCTCGGAGTGGAGGATCGAAGCGAAAAGACCAGCTGGATATCCATCGGGAATTTCGAGAGAACATAACGAAGACAAAACAGGGACGATATGAGGTTAAAGTACCATGGATACCAGGGACTACTATAACGAATGATAACCTGGAACCAAGCAGGAAGCGACTAGGCAATGTTTGGAAGAAGATTAATCAAGATAAAACACTGAAAGATGAATATGTTGAGATAGTACGAAGCCAGTTAAATGACGGTATTATCGAGAGAGCACCAGAACAACCAGGAGGAGAACGTTTTTTTATATGCCACACAGGCCAGTCGTTAAGGAAGATGCCACCACAACTAAAGTAAGAATGGTGTTTGACGCCAGCATGAAGCCCCATCCCATGGCCAATAGTGTAAACGACTGTATGTATACGGGACCCCCACTGCAACCACTCCTGTGGGACATAATGATTAGAGCGAGAGTGGCCCCAAACATAGCTTTAGCAGATATCCAAAAGGCATTTCTGCAAGTCGGAATAAAAGAAGAAGATCGGGATGCCTTCCGATTCTTGTTCAATATCAATGGTAAAGAGGAACATTTGCGGTTTACAAGAGTGCCATTTGGAGCGGAGGCGAGTCCATTCATGTTGGGAGCAACAATACAATACCACCTGGAACAACAACCAGTCGAGTTTGAGAGTACCATCAAAGCATTAAGAGAAAACACCTACGTTGACAATGTGATGAAAACAGGAAGTGATGTTTCAGAACTAGAGAGGTTTAAGCAAGAAGCGACAACGATATTGGAAAGTGGTAAGTTCCCGTTACACAAATGGGAGTCGAATGTGGGAACACTGGAAAGTGAAGGGATGCCGAATCCCTCAAAGATTCTAGGACTCAGATGGGACAAAAAAGAAGACGAACTGTTAATTGAAGTACCTGATTATCCGGAGGAAATGCCTGTGACTAAGAAGTCCATCGTCAGCCATCTGGGGAAAATGTATGATCCGTTGGGCATCGTGTCGCCGACCATGGCCGAAGGGAAAAGAATTTTCAGAGAAGTATGCGATGAGAAGAAAAGCTGGGATGTGGAAGCATCTACGCCTTTGAAAAATGATTGGTTGAGGTGGACTAAACAGCTTCGAAATGTGAAAATACCACGATGTGTGGCGAAAGACCTAAAGGAGATCAACGCGATTCACCTCCATATTTCGCAGATGCGAGTAACTTGGCATGCTCGTGTGTGACAATAGCGGTAATAGAACAAGTTACTGGAACAGTGAAAGGTCTCCTTGCATCGAAGTCGAGGATCTCGAAAAGGAATACTTCAATCCCGAGATTGGAGTTGGTAAGCGGCCAGATGGCAGCGAATATGGCGAAAAACATATGCTCTGCACTGAAACGAAGACCTGTTGCTTCAATAACTGTTTGGATGGACAGTTTGGTAGCCTTATTTTGGATATCAAATCCCGCCAAGCACTGGAAGGTGTTTGTGGCAAATCGGGTGAGGAAAATCGCGTCAATAACCGCCGAAATCGGGATCCAGTGGAAGTATTGTCCTACCAAAGAGAATATCGCAGACCTAGGAAGTAGAGGTGCGACAATAAACCGGATGGAGCAATGTGGCTGGTTTACGGGACCTGAGTGGTTAGTGAGGGAAGACCATTGGCCTGATCAACCAATACTGGCAAGCACGAAATATACCTCTCAGGAGAGCATTCCCCTCAGACAAACAGTTTATCACGTAGAAGAGAATGCTGTAGACGAATGGGACCTATTGTTAAACAGGAACTCTTACTGGAGAACAGTTAGAGTGACGGCATGGGCGCTACGGTTCGTGAACAACTGTCGATCGAAAAAACGTGAGGTGCGTAAGAAAGGTCCAATCGATACTGCCGATATAGAAGCAGCAACAAACTGCTGGGTGCGGAAGGTCCAGAGTACCGTTCAAGACGAGGTCGAGGCCCCCGGGTGGCAGCTTATCAAAGACGAAGGTACGGGTATTTTGGTGTGCAAGGGGAGGATCGTGGGATACCAACCAATCTACTTGAACGCAGAGCCATTCGTGGAGAAGTTAATAGCATACATACACGAGAAGATTATGCATCTAGGAGTGGCAAACACTATGGCAGCAATACGAGAAAACTGGTGGGTGCCTCATCTGCGCTCCAAAGTGAAGAAAGTTATAAAGAAATGCAACACGTGTAAAGTCTTCTCAGCTAAGCCGTATGGAGCACCGACGACGGCCCCGTTACCGGAGTTTAGAACCAACGAAAGTAAACCATTCCAAGTTACAGGGGTGGATTTCGCAGGGCCCTTGATTTGCAAAGTGGGAAAGAACGAGACCGAGAAATGTTACGTGGTTGTATTTACATGCGCAACATCGAGAGCACTTCACCTCGAACTAACACATTCACAGACAGCCGAAGAGTTCCAAGAAAAACTAAATTCCTTTATCACAAGAAGGACAAGACCTCGGCGAATAGTCTCAGACAACGCGACAGTATTCAAAGCAACAGCGTCGTGGATAAAGAGAATAAGGAAGAGCGAAAAGTTGCATAACTATCTGGCTACCCAAGAGATCCACTGGACATTTAACCTTGCGAAATCTCCATGGTGGGGAGGGATCTACGAACGCTTGATACAAGAGTTGAAGAAAACCCTGTACAAGACCCTGGGCAAAACACACCTGACATACCACCAACTTCAAACGGTTATAATGGATATCGAACGAAATCTGAACAATCGCCCACTGACTTATGTTGAAAGCGATCATAGCGAAGAACAAGTTCTGACACCGAACGTGATCCTCTGGGGACAAAATGCATGCACGATCGAACCTGATGAAACCTTTGATGACGAAATAAGTAAAGTACAAAAACGGTTAGAAGTCGCGAAACAACATGCGTGGTCAAGATGGCGAAAAGAATATGTGCACGGACTAATGGAATATCACCGAGTTAACAAGAGCCGTAACGAAGTACCACAGATTGGGGAGGTTGTCCTTATTGTGGGTGAAAAAAATAGAGGGAAATGGATGAAGGGGAGAGTCATTAAATACGTCACAGGGAAGGACAGAGTCATCCGAGGAGCGATATTGTTGCACAAGGGGAACCACATAGAGCGTCCGATCCAATTACTCTGTCCCTTAGAGATTCGAAGTCCACTACATGAAACGGAAGTACACAACGCAAGTACTGAAGAAGTCGGGGAAACACGAGAGAACCGGAAGAAGAGGCAGGCTGCAAAAGATGCCGAACAAAGGATTAAGGAATGTTTACAGCAAGACGATGAGTAGTAACATGCTGTTAATTGGTGATCTGGGACATTCAAACATTTGATCGAACAGTCAATTAACAGTAATATGTAGTAAAAATATAAAAAAAACGTTCATATTTTTAGGGGAGCGTGTGGTAGAATGCTACAACCCTCCCAGATTAGGATAGATAACCCCCCCCGGGATGGGAGGTCATGTGACATTGTAAAGTGAGGGAAGGAAAACCTGTTATTTTGAAGTCATGAATTATTCATAAAAAATATACTGAAAATGACATGGAGTTGTGAGAATTTTGGCTTGAAACAAAAGTTCGGGTCACAAGTCCAAGAAACAAGAGAGAATTTCGTTTTCAGACCAATGAGCGAGTTTGTTTACATTTTCAGTAAGCCAATCAGAATGCATAAATTTTGATAAAAAGTACAATATATACCATTTTACATGAAGTGTTACAAATTTAGGCATTCTGATTGGCTTTGCCTGAAAAATGTAAACAAATATGGCGATTAGTTTAAAGCGAAATTCTCCCTTGTTAGTCCAAGAAGGTTGCAAAATACATTACACTCATTAGCTGAGAAGAAAAAAACCCGGCCGTCCGGCCGTAATACAAATATGGTAACTTCACTTGGCTATAATTATTTTCGGTACTTTACAATATTTTGCAGCAAAACCTGGCAATTTGACTTAGTTTAGTGTTCACTTTTCGGATATTCCCTTTTTGTTACTAATTCCTAAATCAAAAGTTGGTCGAAAATTGAAATGAATAACGCGTTAAAACTCGAGTGAGCCGGAGACCAACCAACCAGCGTCCTCTACTTCCGGACCCTAAATACCTTTAACTGTCTATAATAAGAATTTCCCACAGGAACAATATATATAGAATTCTATCTTGTATCAGCTTACGTCACTATGGAGTCACATGGGATGCGCATGCGCATCGCCAATCAGTGCTAGCGTCTTTGCCAAGAAGTACACAAGGTAAAATGAATTTTCTATTTTATATCCCCCGTAATACTCCGTATATTTTCACATTTCACTTCTATCCTTTTCAGGAATGGTAAGTTTTTTAATTTCCTAATATAGTTTGTTGGTTTTAGACAAGTTTCAATGAATGAAATTATGGAAATTTCAACAATAAATGAAGGCGTTGACGAACATGCCGTCGGGTCATCGACCCGTTAAACTGACAATGCGGGTATTAAAACTTATATTCTCTGGAATATCCAAGAAAGTACGGGACGAGTAGCAAGTCTACTTTCCACCTTGTGTAAAAATATGCTCCGCGCATCTTAAACGACGAGCGCCCACTATAGGCAAGAGCTCATCTCAAACGGGAAGCACGCAAGACCATGTTTTTAAACAGGACGACGTTGACGGGTTTGTAAGTCAATTTGATGCTGACGATAGACCACCCCAAACGGCGTCGTCAAATGAATGAGTCCAGTCTTCACCGAAGTGAGGATGAGAAAGATCTGGAACTACTTACTGGCACGGTCACAGTAGAAAAAAGTGCACCGGATGAAATTGAACACGAATTCCTCACTGAGTTAGCTGATATGCTTGAAAAGAATGAGGCTACTGGACAACCGGTCATAAAACAGTTAGCAGACATCACCGATAAACGATGGGGAAAACATTTGCCTCCTGAGAAAATAAAACTGCTCACAGAGCGTAATTATGAGACACCAGAGAATTGTTCAGAACTACTCCCAGTTCGTGTAAATCCGAAATTTGGGACCAATTGAATTCCTCTCGAAGAAAAACTGATTTACAGTTGTCAAATATTCAACAATCAGCTCGGAAAGTGGTTGTGGTGATATTGCAAATTGTGAATGATTTGTTACCCCAAACAAAAGACGAGGCCAGTAAGAAACCGGCATCTCGTTTTGTTGATTCCATTGCATTGCTGGGTCATATGAATAGTGATCTATCACGTCTCACACGGGAATAAATCAGACCTGCTTTAAAGAGAGAGTTTGCCACAATTTGTACCAAAGAAATACCCAATAGCCCCCTTCTATTTGGCTCAGATCTTCCAAAACAGTGAATGAGGCCAAGGAGACTGATACCATATTGGTAATTCCATTGCAATTCGAACCAGAAAGCGTTTTGCTAACCATAGAACAAAACCATATGAGGATAAAAAGACAACTCGCCAAATCAGAACACCCGTAATTACAGGGGGAAACTTCTTTTGTCCAAGGGCTACCCCAACAACAAAAAGAAAAGACCGCCACCGGCATCCGGAATGAGATCATAAGAGGACTTCAAGAATTTAAGTAAAAAATAATGTACGTTCATTTTCTTTGTTTATTAATATATTGCGGGCGTGGTGAGAGCTATTTGTAGGTGGGCAAGCTGCAAGCATCACATTATTGGTCTGAATAGGTCAAACTAACTAATGACAAACACATGATAGCTGATATTAAAGGGATTGGGATTGAATGCTCATAAAGGGATAACATCCACAATGAACTGTCAGGCCAAGAAATAATTTCTTTACTAAATAAAACCTTAATTGAGCCTGCTGAGCCAAAGTTAGGTCAGATTATATCTGGAGTATTTTTACATCCCAAAAAGGATGGCTCCAATCAACCTATTCTCAACTTTTTGTTCAAATTGTTTAAAAACAATTTAATAAGGTGGTTGAGTATCACCATTTCAAAATGGATTCTCTTTATACAGTTATAAGTCTCATGGAACAAGACTGTTTCATGGGTTCTATCGACATTAAGGATGCATATTATTCGTTTGCTATTAATTAATCCCACAAATCGAAAATATTTATGTTTCATGCAGAATGGCCAACAATTTTGTTATACATGCCTTCCTAATGGCCTCTTTTCGGCCTCAAGGCAGTTTACAAAAAATTTAAATGTGCCATTATCATATTTGCATGAGGAAGGCCACATTTCTCTTGGCCACTTGGATGATTTTTATTTACAAGGGAAGACATACTATCAGTGTGTGCTAAATGTAGTGGATACTGTTCAAATGTTTGCCAAATTGGGCTTGATCTCTCACCCAGAAATGTAATTTCATCCCTTCTCAAACTTTAACGATAAATTCCAAAATGATGACTATAACATTGACTGATGAAATTTGAAACGATTATGTAAAGATCTTCTAAACAGAAAATCGTGCACAATACGAGAGATTTTTTTTCTCTTTTTTTGCTTTTTTTGATTTTTTTGATGCAGTAATGACTATATTACAAGCAGCTAAGTGAAAATTGACTTGGTGGGTGCACAACATTACATCTACATTTAACATAGTCTCCCATGGACGACCACCACTAAGCAGGTCACAACTGATGCTTCCCTACATAATTCGGGAGTTGAATGCAACAACATCTCTACAGTTGGGCCATCGACGACCAGGGAAGCTCAACACATTAATTACTTGGAAATGCTGGCTGTATTTATCGGATTACAAACGTTTGTTAAAGATGAGCAGAATATACATGTTCGGGTTAGGTTAGACAACACAACAGGAGTAAATATCCTGAACCACATGGGTTCAAGTTATTAAGTAGATTGCAATAATATTTGCAAAACCATTTGGGGTTGATGTATTGCCAGAGATATCTGGATGAGTGCTGCTTACTTGCCGGGAAAGAGCAATACAATAGCAAATAGAACTAACGAGAACATAACAATTCTTTGAATGGATGTTAAAGAGGCAAATTCTACATGATTCATTATATCAGTGAGATTTCAACCTGACATTGATTTGCCGGTTTGCTTCTCGTATGAATAACCAATTTGATAGATACGCGGCTTACAGGCCTGACCCAAATGCAATAGCTCTCAATGCATTCACAATGCTCTGGACAAAATTAAAATTTTATGCTTTTCTTCCATTTAGTGTGGTATCAAAAGTATTGAGCAAAATTTGTCAGGAGAAAGCAGCAGGCATTGTAGTTTTGCCAAACTGGCGCACACAAAGCTGGTTTGCGGAAGCAATGCAAATGTTACTACAACCACCTGTTCATTTGAAATCGGGCAAAATCCTGCTCACTTTACCATCGAAATCGATGGATTTACATCCACTACATACCAAGTTGTTACTCGTGGTGTGCCATTTATCAGTTGGTGTGCCATTTATCATTTATCTTTCGGATGCAGCTCAACATATCCTGATGTCCTCAGGGAGATCGGGAACACTAAAACAGTACCAAACACATTTCACAAAATGGAACCAGTATTGTATTGAAAATCAAATCGATCAATTCAACCCTTCAGTAGAGAATGCCATTGAAATTTTTACGAAATTATTTGATTTGGGTTTAGGCTACAGTTCGATAAATACAGCACGATCGGCTATCATCTATACGTCCAGTACAAGAAGGATTTAAATTCGGAGATCGTCCTCTCGTTTCGCGTTACCTCAAAGCCCAAAGGGATATTCGAACTAAACTCTGCTTTACTAAGACATACCGAGGTCTGGGATGTTAATATGGTTCTGGATCACTTGAGATCATATAAACCTTCAGATAAATTATCATTAAAAGAGCTTACCCTAAAAATTACTATGCTTTTATGCCTACTTACCGCTCAACGATGTCAGACAATTCACTTGATGGATGTCAATTATATGCAAGAGATGGAGGCCAGATACCGAATTGTTTTTAATAGCAAACTTAAGCAGACAAAGCCTGGACATCATTTGGAACCTATGGAACTTTTAGAGTCCCCCCCCCGAGAGAAAACTATGTGCTGTGGAACATCTTCGTGTGTATTTATAAAAGACCAAAGCAGAGCCGTAGCTAGAAGCTTAATCAGTGGGGGGGGGGTGTATATTCATATATTCGTCTTATGCCCAACTGATTTCTTTTGTACGCCATTGTTTCTACGGTATATAAACATGAATGTATGAATATACACCCCTCCAATTAAGCGGTCTAGCTACGGCCCTGGACCAAAGTTATCAGAGGTTCTGATTCACAATTGTAATTAAGTTTTGTTAAGCCCCATGCACCAGTTTCCAAAGAGACTGTATAGCTAGATGGATTAAAACTGTTC